TGTGGTCGTATATTGGTATGACGTTGGCGTCGTCGTCGTCGTCGTCCGGCGTCGTCCGAAGACACATTGGTTTTCGCACTCTAACTTTAGTTTAAGTGAATGGATCTCTATGAAATTTTACCACAAGGTTTAATACCACAAAAGGAAGGTTGGGATTGATTTTGGGGGTTATGGTACTAACAGTAAAGGAATTAGGGGCCAAAAAGGGGCCAAAAATAAGCATTTTTGTAACTTCCAGACATAACTTGTGTGCTAGTGTATGAATCTCTCTGACATTGTACCACAAGGTTCCATATCACAAAAGGAATGCTGGGATTGATTTTGGGGGTAATTGCCTCCAAATTTTAGGAATTAGGGGCCAAAAAAGGGGCAAAAAACAAGCATTTTTCTAGTTTCAGGACAATAACTTGTGTGTAAGTGTATGGATCTTTCTGAAATTGTACTACAAGGTTCCATATCACAAATGGAAAGCTGGGTTTGAGTTTGGGGGTAATTGCACTAAACGTTTAGGAATTTGGGGCCAAAAAGGGGCCAAAAAACACATTTTTCTAGTTTCCAGACAATAACTTGTGTTCAAGTGTATGGATCTCTCTGAAATTGTACTGCAAGGTACCAGACCACAAAGGGAAGGCTGGGATTGAGTTTGGGGGTGATGAATCATAAGGGGGTTCAAAAAATTTGGGGGGGGGGGATTATTTTTTTTTCCTTTTTTTTCTTTTTTTACTTTTTTTTTTCTTTTAAAATTTTCCATTTTAAGTTGGTTATTTCTGATTTATATTTAAAAGCAAGTAATAATGATATGGTAGGAGATACACACCAAACAGGATGTGTTAATTATTATATAATAAGTATTGTGCAATAGCAAGAAATTTTCAATTGCACAGTATTGCACAATAGCAAGAAATCTTCAATTGCACAGTATTGCGCAATAGCAAGAAATCTTCAATTGCACAGTATTGCGCAATAGCAAGAAATATCCAATAGCACAATATTGCGCAATAGCAAGAAATTGTCAATTGTACAGTATTGCGCAATAGCAAGAAATATTTAATTGCACAGTATTGTGCAAAAGAAGATACTTCATATAAATTGCTTATTTCTTGACCAATTTCAATGGGGTTTTATTCTTGAATTCTTGGGGTTCTTTAATATGCTGAATCTAACAGTGTATTTAGTTTTTGGATTTTGGGCCTCGTTTTTAAATTGGTCCGCATTGAGGTCCAAAGGGTCCAAAATTAAACTTTGTTTGATTTCATCAAAAATTGAATTATTGGGGTTCTTTGATATGCCGAATCTAACCGTGTATTTAGATTCTTAATTTTTGGTTCCGTTTTCAAATTGGTCTACATTAAGGTCCAAAGGGTCCAAAATTAAACTTAGTTTGATTTTAACAAAAATTGAATTCTTAGGGTTCTTTGATATGCTGAATCTAAACATGTATTTAGATTTTTGATTATGGGCCCAGTTTTCAAGTTGGTCCAATCGGGGTCCAAAATTAAACTTTGTTTGATTTCAACAAAAATTGAATATATGGGGTTCTTTGATATACTGAATCTAACCATGTATTTAGATTTTTGATTTTTGGTTCCATTTTCAAATTGGTCTACATTAAGGTCCAAAGGGTCCAAAATTAAACTTAGTTTGATTTTAACAAAAATTGAATTCTTAGGGTTCTTTGATATGCTGAATCTAAACATGTATTTAGATTTTTGATTATGGGCCCAGTTTTCAAGTTTGTCCAAATCGGGGTCCAAAATTAAACTTTGTTTGATTTCAACAAAAATTGAATATATGGGGTTCTTTGATATGCTGAATCTAACCATGTATTTAGATTTTTGATTTTTGGGCCCCGTTATCAACTTTGTCCACATTGAGGTCAAAAGGGTCCAAAATTAAAATTTGTCTGATTTCATCAAAAATTGAATTCTTGGGGTTCTTTGATATGCTGAATCTAACCATGTATTTAGATTTTGGATATTGGACCATAATAGGTGGATGTCCAATTTAAAATTTTTAAGTTCTTAGACCACATTCATTCTGTGTCAGAAACCTATGCTGTGTCAAATATTTAATCACAATCCAAATGCAAAGCTGTATCAAGCTTGAATGTTGTGTCCATACTTGCCCCAACTGTTCAGGGTTCGACCTCTGCGGTCGTATCAAGCTGCGCCCTGCGGAGCATTTTATTGCACTCTAACTTTAGTTTAAGTGAATGGATCTCTGTGAAATTTTACCATAAGGTTCAATACCACAAAAGGAAGGTGGGGATTGATTTTGGGGGTTATGGTACCAACTGTTAAGGAATTAGGGGCCAAAAAGGGGCCAAAAATAAGCATTTTTGTAACTTCCAGACATAACTTGTGTGTTAGTGTATGGATCTCTCTGACATTGTACCACAAGGTTCCATATCACAAAGGGAATGCTGGGATTGATTTTGGGGGTAATTGCCTCCAAATTTTAGGAATTAGGGGCCAAAAAGGGGCAAAAAACAAGCATTTTTGTAGTTTCATGACAATAACTTGTGTGTAAGTGTATGGATCTCTCTGACATTGTACCACAAGGTTCCATATCACAAAGGGAATGCTGGGATTGATTTTGGGGGTAATTGCCTCCAAATTTTAGGAATTAGGGGCCAAAAAGGGGCAAAAAACAAGCATTTTTCTAGTTTCATGACAATAACTTGTGTGTAGGTGTATGGATCTTTATGAAATTGTACTACAAGGTTCCATATCACAAAGGGAAAGCTGGAATTGAGTTTGGGGGTAATTGCCCAAAACGTTTAGGAATAAGGGGCCAAAAAGGGGCCAAAAATAAGCATTTTTCTAGTTTCCAGACAATTACTTGTGTTCAAGTGTATGGATCTCTCTGAAATTGTACTGCAAGGTACCATACCACAAAGGGAAGGCTGGGATTGATTTTGGGGGTAATTGCCTCAAAATTTTAGGAATAAGGGGCCATAAAGGGGCAAAAAAACAAGCATTTTTCTAGTTTCAGGACAATAACTTGTGTGTAAGTGTATTGATCTTTATGAAATTGTACTACAAGGTTCCATATCACAAAGGGAAAGCTGGGTTTGATTTTGGGGGTAATTGCCCTAAATGTTTAGGAATTTGGGGCCAAAAAGGGGCCAAAAAACAAGCATTTTTCTAGTTTCCAGACAATAACTTGTGTTTAAGTGTATGGATCTCTCTGAAATTGTAATGCAAGGCACCATACCACAAAGGGAAGGCTGGGATTGAGTTTGGGGGTGATGAATCATAAGGGGGTTCAAAAAATTTGGGGGGTAATTTTTTTTTCCTTTTTGTCGAGCCTTCGACTTTAGCAAGACATAGTGATCCTACATTCCGTCGTCGTTGTCGTTGGCGGCGTCCACAAATATTCACTCTGTGGTTAAAGTTTTTAAAAGTTTAATAACTTTCTTAAACTATCCTGGATTTCTACCAAACTTGGACAGAAGCTTGTTTATGATCATAAGATAGTATCCAGAAGTAAATTTTGTAAAAATAAAATTCCATTTTTTCCGTATTTTACTTATAAATGGACTTAGTTTTTCTGCCCGGAAATATTACATTCACTCTGTGGTTAAAGTTTTTAAAATTTTAATAACTTTCTTAAACTATCCTGGGTTTGTACCAAACTTGGACAGAAGCTTGTTTATGATCATAAGATAGTATCTAGAAGTAAATTTAAAAAAAAAATAAATCCATTTTTTCCTTATTTTACTTTTAAATGGACTTAGATTTTCTGCTGGGAAACAACACATTCATGCTCTGTGGTTAAAGTTTTTAAAATTTTAATAACTTTCTTATTCTATCCTGGGTTTGTACCAAACTTGGACAGAAGCTTGTTTATGATCATAAGATAGTATCTAGAAGTAAATTTAAAAAAAAAATAAATCCATTTTTTCCTTATTTTACTTTTAAATGGACTTAGATTTTCTGCTGGGAAACAACACATTCATGCTCTGTGGTTAAAGTTTTTAAAATTTTAATAACTTTCTTATACTATTTTGAATTTGTACCAAACTTGGACAGAAGCTTGTTTATGATCTAAAGCTAGTATCTAGAAGGAAATTTTGTAAAAAAATAAATCCATTTTTTCCTTATTTTACTTTTAAATGGACTTAGATTTTCTGCCAGGAAACAACATATTCACTCTGTGGTTAAAGTATTTAAAATTTAAATAACTTTCTTATACTATTTTGGATTTGTACCAAACTTCTACAGAAGCTTGTTTATGATCAAATGCTAGTATCTAGAAGGAAATTTTGTTTTTTTCCAGTTAACATTACATTCAGTCTACAGTTAAAGTTTTTAAACATTTATTAGATTCATAAACTATCCTGGATTTTTACCAAACTTGGACAGAAGCTTCTTACAATCAAAAGATAGTATCAAGAGGAATATTTTTATTGATTTACTTCCTCATTTTTGTTGAGACTGCGATTAACAGAAAAAGTAGGCGAGACACTGGTTTCCGCGGAACCCTTACGAATTTTTTTTCTTTAAAATTTTCCATTTTAAATTGGTTATTTCTGATTTATATATAAAAGCAAATAATAATGATATGGTTTGAATAGGTAAATTAAAATTTTTTAAGTTCTTAGACCACATTCATTCTGTGTCAGAAACCTATCCTGTGTCAAATATTTAATTACAATCCAAATTCAGTGCTGTATCAAGCTTGAATGTTGTGTCCATACTTTCCCCAACTGTTCAGGGTTCGACCTCTGCGGTCGTATCAAGCTGCGCCCCAGCGGAGCATTTTATTATTATAACGTATATAGTGAAAAAAAGATATTTTGAGATGGAAATCAAAGAATTGAAGTATTCAATAAACAAAAAGAAACGGGTTTCCTCAGCTATAAATTATTGAAATATTTGCAATACCATCCTGTTTTATTCATTTTCTTAATGCATTAATTCATAATTATAAAATATTTTGAAGTCAAATTTTGCAGGAGGTGTGACTATGTATTATATCAATTCTATTTATTTCAGCATATCTGTACTAGTATGTCCCTTTGGGCCAAGACCCAACAACTACCACCAGAATACCTGAAACAAATAGAGACAATCTATGCCACACAGTTTCCCATAGAGGTCCGTCATTATTTTGCAGAATGGATAGAAGAACAGCCATGGTTAGCCTCTTTCTCAGTTACTTAATATGACAAGTGATACATGATGAGACCAACTAAATAAAATAAGCCCTTGTGGGTTTATTATTTTACCATGTTGTGTAATTTATTTGCTAATATAACATCAAATTGTGATCAAATATGTTACAACTGACTTTAACAAATTATACATAGCATCTTATCCATACAGAACAATGCTGCTATGCCATAGGCACAGTAAAATGATCCTGGCTGCATATTATACATTTTAAAAGTTTCGGGAGAAGTCTGTGAGAATAAATTTGAAAAACGGCTTTACACATTAAAGTTCAATCCCAGTTGGAAGCAATTGTAATTATTTACTTTTGTGTTGCCATTTCCTTGGAAAAGTGCTTTACTTATAGAAATTATTGCTTGTTAAGGGAATTTGCAGTTATATGCAGTGTACATTTTTGTACTAGACTTTCATTTGAAGTTACAATTTCAGGGAGTCTATGGAATACCAAAGGTATTATATTTTTCTTATCCTGCAATAGACTCAAATCCCATTAATAGAAAAAAAAAACACTAATTGAACAATGATATGTATAAATCAGCACAGTTTTTTCATAAAACCTCAGGGTGTCACTGTAAAAAATCATCTTTAAAACACCTAGGCTAAAATAAACCAAATTTCGTATTATCAAAGGATAGTTAGTTTCAAAATTATAACAATGATGGTACCAACATGACCAAGATTAAATAAATATAATGCAGAGATTTCTGATATTAAGTTATAAATACCCCCACAGCCAATTGTTTTTGTTTCAATTTTAACAATTTAAATTAAAAGACTGATGAATAATGACTTGATTTTCCTCAGGTGTCAACTGGATGAAAATGATCCTGAAAATTCTAAGTTTGTTGCCAGGAAAGCAGATATTTTATCTGATCAATGGGAGTCAGTTTTGTCTTGTTTTGTTCGGTTAATTTTAGTTTTATTTACAGTTGATATTTATTCTACAATATTCGTTTATATTGTTGTTGTTTGTTTAATTGTTCTGTTAATAATTATTCTATTTAAGAACAAATTCTTTCTTGTTCTGATCTTTGTTCATTTAAATATAATTAGGCAATATATTTTTCAATGTTTTTATGACCAACCTACGATTGTTGTGGATTACTATATTTTGTAGTCTCTGCCTTTTTCAGATATTCTGTCCTTCCGTTATTCTTTTCCTCCATCCAGTATTAGGTTAAATTTTTGGTTATGGCAGTCTGCACGAAATGGGAGACCAATACTCCGACATTTTTCTTACGTGTCTGAACAAAATTTTACAAATACTTACTAGTCAGAATAAAATATTACTAGTCTCGGGGCATTGGACTAGTTGCTAACAGTGTAGACTGTAAGGTAGTTGACCAGGAAGTTGAGGTCACATCAATTTAAGACATAGTACACATATAAAAATAAGACGATGTGGTATAACAGCCAATGAGACAACTGTCCACCAGAGACCAAATGACATAGAAGTTAACAACTATAGGTCACCTATATATGTTCATTATGATTAGAACCAGATTATGATTTTGACTGATTTCCCAGTTCAATGACATTCTCAAGTTAAAGTATTTTGGTAAGGTAGTTTACCATGAGGTTGTGGTCACATTAATTTGAAACTTAGTACTCATGTTCATTATGATGTGAAAGTTTACAAAATGATACAATATTAAGGTTTTGTGGTTCACTTATCATTTAAGACATTTAAGAATTGGTTTTAAGTAGGTTAACGTTATGGTTTTTAGTACATGTGGTTTACCAATAAGGTGTGGTTACTTCAACTTGAAACATTAGTTCAAATGTTCAATTTGTTGTGATATTTTAAAAATTTATGCATGCCACAGAAACGTTTTAACCAAGACATGCCACATAATGGTTTTAACCAAGACATGCCACATAATGGTTTTAACCAAGACATATCACATAATAGTTTTAACCACCATTAACCAAGACATACCACATAATAGTTTTAACCAAGACATGCCACATAATGGTTTTAACCAAGACATGCCACATAATGGTTTAAACCAAGACATGCCACATAATGGTTTAAACCAAGACATGCCACATAATGGTTTTAACCAAGACATACCACATAATGGTTTTAACCAAGACATACCACATAATGGTTTTAACCAAGACATGCCACATAATGGTTTTAACCAAGACATGCCACATAATGGTTTTAACCAAGATTTTGTAGTTCACTGAACATGGAAATGTGATAGTTCAACCAGAACATGGAAATGTGATAGTTCAACCAGAACATGCATGGTGTCCTATTTACAATCCGTTTTGTTTTTATCTACTTTTCTTACATAAAGCTTTCAACTTGAAAACAAATAAGGCCACAACACTTCATAGAAATGCAGGTATTGATATTTATTTTAGATCGACATGTTTCCGTTTACTCCCGCTGACGGTGTAGAGAACGCCAAAACATGTTGATCTGAAATAAATGATACCTGCATTCCTGTGAAGTCTTGTGGCCTTATTTATTTTTTCAGTTTTATGTTTAATTAGGACACCCTGCATACCTTTGGTATCCACCTCAATTGAACCTGACATACCCTGATTAACCAGGCATGTGTTCACAAGTTTATAATTTAAAAAAGTTTTCAAGTTTAATACATGATCATTTGGAATTTATTTATGTATTTTGTTTGTTTATATATATAAGACATGCTGTTTCAGTATAACCTTTTCCTTATACTTATTTAAGTCACAAAAAGCAATTAGTGTCGACACTAACTTTGATCTGGTATTGATATATATATAGGAGTCAGGTAGATGAAAACAACAGCCAGCATGAACAGTATGCTGTTCAGCTACTCGTCAACCTGGTACAACTTATACAAGACAAGTCGGATGAGCTTCCTACAACAGGGGAATATTTCTTACTCAAGTTACGTTTCCAAAATGTGATAGACCAGTTACGAGTATGTATTACATTATTTTCCTAACTGAATTTGCAATAGGCATTGTTGTAACAGTTTAGTATATGTGTACTGCTAATAGGAATTTTTGTTTTGTTATTTGGCTTCTGGTAGTGAGGTTTGTTTACAATATACAGGGTCTTAGATAGATGACTATTAAACTGTCCTGGACTCATAAAAATTAAACATTTGAACAGATGAGTTCAATGTAGTATCAATATTTTATGAGCTTTGTCTTAAGATAAATAATTTCATTCCCTCAAAAAAGAAATTATTAATCTAAATCTGATTCAGAGTCGATTTCATTAAGCCCAGAAGACTTAAATGATGAGTAAAAGCTATGACTTGATTTTGTCAGAATTTTGGATTTGTAATGGCCTAAAATGAGTCCTTGCACTTAGTGAGATCCCTGATATGTCTGATTATCTAGGCATTAGTATAACCAGAAAATAAGTGATACTTTGAGTTCGTTTGCAATATGACAAGATATCAGTAACAGTTTAACATGGCTGAACTGCTGAATATACCCTTGTGGCTTACATGTATACTTAAAACTTTACAAATCAAAAGAGAACAAATACAGTATTATTACACAAAAAGATACACAATTCTTGACTTCAATATAATGTTTGATGTATATATAGAAAGATAGATTTAATATTTTTTATACCCCACGCAACGAGTTGAGGAGGGTATAATGTTTTTGACCCGTCCGTCCGTCTGTCCGTCCGTCAGTCAGTCAGTCCTGTTTCTTGTCATCGCAACTCCTCTCAAACCACACAACAGAATTTCACTTTGAACTTATTTACTTTAATGTACTACTGCAACAGTTTGTCAATGTCATCGCAACTCCTCTCAAACCACACAATAGAATTTCATGAAACCTTTTCAGATAATAAGGACATACTACGTAGATGTGCATATCGACAGGAAATTATGATTCAATTTTTTTTCCAGGAGTTACACACCTTTGAACTTATTTGCCCAATATACTACTGCAACCTTTTGTCATCGCAATTCCTCTCAAACCACACAACAGAATTTCATGAAACCTTTTCAGATAATAAGGACATACTACGTAGATGTGCATATCGACAGGAAATTATGATTCAATTTTTTTTCCAGGAGTTACGCCCCTTTGAACTTATTTGCCCAATATACTACTGCAACCTTTTGTCAACGCAACTCCTCTCAAACCACACAACAGAATTTCATGAAACTGTGTAGATAATAAGGACATACTATGTAGATGTGCATATTGACAGGAAATTATGATTCAATTTTTTTTCTGATACAATTTTTTTTTCTTACACTTATTTTATTTCTCCAATGACAATGTGGGGACGTGGGGTATGTGAGCGCGCTCACTAAGGTTCTTTCATTCTATCACTGTTGATCTACACTACATAAAATGATTCTGTAAATTATGTCTGAAAGATGAATATATTTAAGGATAACAAGATTTTTTTTAAAAGAAAAGACAAAATATTATCCCTTTAAATAAAATATTCTAGCAGGGCCTATATTTTACTAAATTAAGCATTCCAATAATCATCTGCTATTCAAAATCAATAATTCTAATTGGTTTCAATTATCAGTGATTCTCTTGAAACAATCAATAAATTTCATTACTCTTAACTTGAGCAAACCAATAAATTGTTTGTGTATAATTCCCTATTGTACAATGTTGTATTGCATTTAACAATATAGAGCATTAGCATATCTGATTACAGGAAGTGTATGTTTCCAATAAAGAACTAAACCCATTTTGATACAATTAGTTACTTCAAATTTTTATGTTGAAAAAGAATTTTCAGTGCCTTTTTTCTTGAAAATATGGAATAATAAATTCAATAAAAATACACAACCCCAATCCTCTTTCCATTCATATTAAATCATTTATGAAAAATGTCTAAAGAAGATCTAGAATTGAAATATTAAAAGAATATGCCTCAAAAATGAAAAATTCTCAATCTTTTGACAATAGAATAGAACTTTATAGTAAAATTATTGAAATAAAAATAACTCTATGCTGCCCTACAGCAATTCATCTTCAGTGTCATATAATTTTTTTTCATAATCAATAAGCAATCTGTGGAGGAAAAAAGTAAGATACCTATGTTTGACCTTACAAATATAAAAAAAACAACCTTTGAAGGTTAAGGGATACAACGATCTAAGTTTCAAGTCCCATACCCTACAAGGATAATTGGTAAACTTTTATTAGAAAAATCTTTTTTTGGTAATGTCTTCTGTTTCAAAAGATGTATACTTAAAACTTGAAACAGTGAACATTATTTGATTAAAATATGAAATTTCAAATTAAACAAAGTTGATATGCAAATTAAGGAACCCATTGTCATTGACCCACATTTATCCTATTTTTTCAATTGAAAATTACTAAAGAACTGCAGTAAATGCAACTGTCTGCAATAGTGCTATATCAAGGGTTTTTTGTCCTCATCATACCTTAATATGATTTGAAATGATTCATCTACTCTTCCAATTTTGATCACTTTGATTAGAAGAAAGACAATTTTGAGTAACTTTTTAACTGTTACCTTAGAAAAAAATTAACAATAAAAAGTAAATGATTATAAAACACCAATGACTTTTTATGATATTTAATGCAGTGTTGAGGTAACAGACAGACAAGAAATAATAATCATGCTAGATTTGAAACTTTAGATAAAATTGAAACAGTTTCCTGAAACTAATTTGAATGATATATCTCATGATGAAAATCTACATTGTTTAATTTGTAGGAAAAATATGAGCCTTCACCATTAGCATTTGTTAAAGTTGTAAAAAGTTGTCTGAATTTAGAAGAAGCTCTAGTAAACCAGGCAGAAAATGTAAGTTTTACATTAATATATGACTTGTTGTTGAATGCTTTATAGAAATCAGTGTTTTTACATGACTGCAAAAATTTTGCAATCGTATATTGGTATCACGTCGTTGTCCGAAGACACATTGGTTTCCGGACAATAACTTTTGTTTAAGTGTATGGATTTCTATGAAATTTTACCATAAGGTTTATGACCACAAAAGGAAGGTAGGGATTATGGTCCTAACAGTTCAGGAATAAGTGGCCAAAATGGGGCCCAAATAAGCATTTTTCTAGTTTTCAGACAATAACTTGTGAAATGGTGTATGGATCTCTCTAAAATTATACCACAAGGTACCATATCACAAAGGGATGGTAAGAATTTGCTTTGGGGGGGTTATGGCTCAAACTGTTTAGGAATTAGGGGCAAGAAAGGGGAAAAACAAAGGTGTCCTGGTTAATGGACAATTACTTAAGTACAAAACATAATTTAAAAGCAGTGTAAGGGAGGTAATTCAAACAAATATTGTCAAATTACCTCCCTTACACTGCTTGTAAATTATTTATAAAGAAATGTATTGTCTTTAGGTGATTAGCTGTCAATTTATTTTTAGAAGTTACTATTTTAAAAATGTTTAATAAAGGTAATTTAATTATAGCCATGATTATGTATGTGAAGGAATTTTTATTTAGATATTACTATTTAATGTTGCTGATGGAGGCTTTTTAATTTTAAAAAAGCATTTTTCTAGTTTCCAGACAGTAACTTGTGATTAAGTGTATGGATCTCTCTAAAATTGTACTACAAGGTTCCATACTACAAAGGAAAGAATTGAGTTTGATGGTTAATGCTAAAAGGGGGATTCAAAAAGTTTAGGTGGGAATGGGGTTTCCAATTTTTTATACGCCCATCAAAATTTTGACGGGACGTATTATGGTATACAAATGTCATCTGTACGTCTGTCTGTCCGGCGTAAACATGTCGTACCGTAACTTGAGAACGACTTATCCAAATTTCATGAAACTTAACATAGTTGTTTCTTATGATGGTCAAACGATCTGTATACTTTTTGGTGAAAATAAGATTAAAACTTTTTGAGTTACAGGACTTAGTAACTAAAACAGGTGTGTGTTTTTTTTCACATGTTGCGCCGTATCTCAAAAACAATTTATGATTATTGCTTAAAACTTTACACACTTCTTAGTTATATTAATCTTAAGATCTGTATACTTTTTGGTGATTCAAAATTTTATTTTTGAGTTATTGAGTATTTTGTAAAAAAAAGGGGGAGTTTTTCACATGTCGCGTCGTATCCCAAAAACAATTCATGATTATTGCTTAAAACTTTACACACGTCTTAGTTATATTAATCTTAAGATCTGTATACTTTTTGGTGATGATTCAAAATTTTATTTTTGAGTTATTGAGTATTTTGTAAAAAAAGGGGGAGGGGTTTTTCACATGTCGCGCCGTATCTCAAAAACGATTTATGATTATTGCTTGGAATTTTACACACTTCTTAGTTATATTTATCAAAAGATCTGTATACTTTTTGGTTTTGATACAAAATTTTATTTTAGAGATATTGAGTTTTTGGAAAAAAAAGGGGGGTTTTCCCATGTCTCAACGCATGTCAGAAACTATTTATGATTATTGCATAAAAATTCTAACACAAGATGACGGGCGTATCATGCCCTCATGGCGCAGCTATTTATTTTTAAAAAGGTTCATATTTTTTTTTCAGAATTTTCAAAATTTCAAATTTTTGAAAAGTTTCAAGAAGAAATCTTCAATTGCACAGTATTGCGCATTAGATTTGTAAGATCTTTGACCACATTTATTTTGTATCAGAAACCTATATTATGTAAAAAATTTGATCACAATCCAAATTCAGATAGTATCAAGCTTGAATATTGTGTCCAAATTTGCCCCAACTGTTCAGGGTTCGACCACTGCAGTCGTATCAGGCTGCGCTCAGCGAAGCATTTTATTATTTTAAGCTTAATTCTCTAGTAATAATTATTGTATAGTCACACACTTTTCATTGATGTGTGTTTTCCCTCTTTATGTAAAATTCCTGTTGTCCAAGAAAATTTAGAAAACTGGAATCTAAAGTTGTCAGGTTTTCTCAGGACCTGCTAATAAGAGACATCTTTATTAGGGGTAGTCATTGCCTGGTAACATCTGTGACATATGGCCATACCTGAATAGTATAAATCTATCATGCAAAGTGTCCTTGTCTAAAATTATATTGGTACCCATTTGATAAAGAAAAACTAATATATAAGCCACTCCATGTGAAAAGATACAAAAAGCGTTTTTGAGAAACTTTACAGGGCAAGTTGTTAAAGTGTGTTAAAATATTTTTGAAAAACAGTTGCATTAATAATAATTGATTTTAATGTAAACATTCATAAAATGGTCAATTCTGTCCCAAATTTATCAGTTAAAACAAAAAAAGACGTAGAAATATCTGAATTTTTGTACTTAGGCAAGTGTACCATCATTCGTTACTCGGAACAATGCTATACTAAGCCAAAATAAAACCATTTCCTTACTATTGAGAAAAAAGGTTAACAATTTTCATCATCTCTACCTATGCCTAAAGAAAGGAACACAACAGTTCAACGTAAGGGAAAATGCAAAAATGATGTCATCTTATGTTTTTGAAAATTAAATTTAAGTAAGCATTGAAAGGTGTGTATATCTTACAGCTTAATCATAGGAAAAGTAACGGTGTTTTATAGATCACAAGTCTGCTACCAATAGTTATGCACACTTTTTAGAATTTTGCCCAATTTTTGGTTTTTGTACATTTTTGCATGGACTGGCTCATATATAAAAATAAGGAGATTTGGTATGATTGCCAATAAAACAACCATCCACAAATATCAGACATTGTGTAGGAGTAACAGTACAATACAAGAAAAAATTATGAAAATCAGGTGGAAAAAGCCTGACTCGTCAGATTGCCAATAAGCACACAAAAACCCTAAAAAAAACCATGAGGTACCAATCACAGAGTACTCTCATTTATTGAAAGCTAGTTGAAAGCCAATTCTGACTTTGACTATGTTTTCTCAGACTAAAATTTTAATCAGTACACATACAATGAATTTGGTGTAAAGATGTTAAAAAAAAACCAATACATATCATCGTCAAATTCAGGATGTAATATCCTGTTTGTAATATTTTTCTTTCAATACTTATAAATAAGTTTCAATTTTCTTAAAATGTGCTCATATATTGATATTATAGCAGTATTGAAGTTCTGTTGTAATGAGGATTTGAAACTGTCTGGTTTATGACTGATGTCTTGTCCATAACTGAATAACCTTGCTAGAAGATTTTTGGAAAATATGCTCAACAATTTTCTCTTTTGTGAAGCTTGTCAAATATTGCATTTTGGTTCAAGCAGTATCTTTTTGCTGTTTAGATTAAAACAAGTTTTTTCTTTTGTTTTCTGCATATAATTTTTTAATTTCTAAAATTTTTATTTTCTAGCCTTCACTAGTTATAGAAGATCCAACAGTTCAGCAACTGGCAACTAACAAACAGATATCTAAAGACATAGAAACACTTCAGACATGGACTTCGGTTAGTTACAGTTTATATAAATGAAAAAGGAAGATAAAGATATATATCTACTGAAGAAGAAGAGAAAAAAAACAAGGAATATTCAGCCAAGGAATTTGTTTTTGTCCCAGCTGATAAAGCTGCTAATAATATCATTATAGTTTGACGTAAATTTTACATTGAGGTTCTGAAAAAGGAAATCACGAATTCACCAACATTCCAACTGACTTCATTTTCGGAAAGCAATATCTGTAACAAACATAAACTATTAGCTACTTCTTTACAAGCAGAACCAAATACAATGAAAGTCCCAACTATGTACTGGCTTCCGAAGCTACACAAATCACCTTACAAATATAGATTTATTTCGTCTTCAAGTCATTGTTCCACTACTAAATTGTCTATTCTACTTACTAGTACACTTGGTACAATCAAAAACCTGATAATAAATTGTTCAAATAAGGCCTTTGAAAATAGTGGAATTAATTACTCTTGGAGTGTCAAAAACTCGTTGGAAGTACTTGATAAATTGCATGCATATATTGGTGATTTTGAATCTGTTCAATGTTTTGATTTTTCTACCCTATATACCACATTGCCTCATATTCTTATTAAGAAAAAATTCACACACCTAATTAAATGGGCATTTAAAAAGTCGAAATGTGAATACATATGTTCAAACTCTTTTAGGTCATTTTTTAGTAGCAACAAACAAAAGAACTATGTCAACTGGACATGCTTTGATACTATATCTGCCCTTGAATTTTTACTTGATAACATTTTTGTTTGCTTTGGAGATTCCGTATATCGTCAAGTTATCGGAATTCCAATGGGGACTAACTGTGCACCACTTATTGCGGACCTGTTTTTGTATTGTTATGAGTTACAATTTATGACTAAAATCAGCAAAGACCCATCGAAACAACATCTGATACAAAAATTTAACAATACTTTTAGATATTTGGATGATATATTGGCTCTCGATAATGACGACTTCAGTATGTATACTAAAGAACTTTATCCTGTTGAACTTACTTTAAATAAAGCTAATACTAACAATAACCACTGTCCTTTCCTCGATCTTGATATCTATATCATTAACGGGAAGCTTAATACAAAAATTTACAATGAAAGAGATGATTTTTCATTTCCTATCGTTAATTACCCATTTTTAGATGGTGACGTTCCCTTGTCACCATCTAATGGTGTTTATATATCCCAACTTGTACGATTCGCTCGTGTATGTAACAACGTATTAGATTTTAGCGAGAGAAATTTATGTATTACTGAAAAATTATTACACCAGGGTTTTCGATATCATAAACTAGTCAAAACATTTACTAAATTTTATCATCAGTATAAGGACATCATTCGTAAATATAACTCAACATGCAGACATCTTATACATTCGGGTATTTCACATCCAATCTCTTATGGTAATATTCTTTACAAAGCACAAAAATGTCAGTATTCACCTCAAAAGCTAACATAACCTTTAAACAGACTTATTAAGAAGGGATATAGTTATGATACTGTTGTCAAGTCATTAAAGATGGCATATTTTGGCTTTAATATTGATTCACTTATAGGGTCTTTGCATCGGAATTAAACACATTTATTCTAAAACCAGTTGTTGGCATGACACGGGGTATGTTCTTCTCATATATTTTATGACGGTATAATACTAAACCCCTAACAGGAGGGATTGTGCCTGATATTCATATGTTGAAGACATAATCTTTCAATCAGTTTAATTGAGGTCTGGAGCTGGCATGTCAGTAACTGCTAGTAGTTCTCTGACTTCTCTTATACTGAGTTTTACTGTGCATACTGTTGTGCGTTTGTTTTTTCTACATTGGCTAGAGGTATAGGGGGAGGGTTGAGATCTCAAAAAACATGTTTTACCCCGCCGCATCTTTGCGCCTGTCCCAAGTCAGAAGCCTCTGGCCTTTGTTAGTCTTGTATCATTTTTATACGACCGCAAAAAAATTTTGTGGTCGTATATTGGTATGACGTTGGCGTCGTCGTCGTCGTCGTCGTCGTCGTCCGGCGTCGTCGTCGTCCGGCGTCGTCGTCCGAATACATATTGGTTTTCGCACTCTAACTTTAGTTTAAGTGAATGGATCTTTTTGAAATTTGACCATAAGGTTAAATACCACAAAAGGAAGGTTGGGATTGATTTTGGGGGTTATGGTACCAACAGTTAAGGAATTAGGGGCCAAAAAGGGGCCAAAAATGAGCATTTTCTAGTTTCCAGACAATAACTGTGGAACGGTGTATGGATCTCTCTGAAATTATACTACAAGTTTCCATACCACAAAGGGATGGTTAGGATTTGCTTTGGGGGGTTATGGCTCAAACCGTTTAGGAATTAGGGGCAAAAAAGGGGGAAAAACAAGTTTGTCCTGGTTAATGGACAAATACTTTAGTACAAAACATAATTTAAAGCAGTGTAAGGGAGATAAATCAAATACATCATTGAAATTATCTCCCTTACACTGCTTTTAAATTATGTATAAGTAATGGTTAATGAACAATAAAGATAATCTAAAACAGTGTAAGGGAGGTAATCCAAATACAATGTTTTGGTTACTTCCCTTACACTGCTTTTAAATTATGTTTAAAGAAATGCATATTTATAAAGGAAGACCAGTAAAAATATCTGCAAATGTTTTCATCTTTTTTTTACAAAAAAATCCATATGAAAGATTTGACACTATATTTTTATTAATTCTATTATAAAATAGATTAAGTTAGCACTATGGTAAATTTAAATGGGTAATTATGGTTGCCAACTCCATTGGAAATTTGAATTGAGATTATGACCATATCTTGAGGGAAAGAATTTTTTTGGGGGAAAAAGGGGGGGGGGATAAAAAGAAATTGTGGGGGGCCAATTTTTTCTCATTTCAGATTTCAGAAATTAAAAAGAATTATTCTTCAAATATTATTTTTTTTTCAAATTTCAAATATTGAAAAATTTCAAGAAGTAATCTTTAATTGCACAGTATGGCGCATTAGATTTGTAAAATCTTTGATCACATTTATTTATTTGTTATGCCGAATCTAACAGTGTATTTAGATTTTTAATTTTGGGTCCAGTTTTCAAATTGGTCTACATTAATGTCCAAAGGGTCCAAAATTAAACTTTGTTTGATTTTAGCAAAAATTGAATATATGAGGTTCTTTGATATGCTGAATCTAAACATGTATTTAGATTTTTGATTTTTGGCCCAGTTTTCAAGTTGGTCCAAATTGGGGTCCAAAATTAAACTTTGTTTGATTTCAACAAAAATTGAATATATGGGGTTCTTTGATATGCTGAATCTAACCATGTATTTAGATTTTTTATTTGTGGACCCCTTTATCTAATTGGTTCATATTGAGGTCAAAAGGGTCCAAAATTAAACTTTGTTTGATTTCATCTAAAATTGAATTATTGGGGTTCTTTGATATTCCAAATCTAACCGTGTATTTAGGTTTTTAATTTTGGGTCCTGTTTTTTAAATTGGTCTACATTGAGGTCCAAAGGGTCCAAAATTAAACTTAGTTTGATTTTGACAAAAATTGAATTCTTGGGGTTCTTTGATTTGCTGAATCTAAACATGTGTTTAGATTTTTGATTATGGGCCCAGTTTTCAAGTTGGTCCAAGATAGGGTCCAGTATTTAAACTTTGTTTGATTTCAACAAAAATTGAATATATGGGGTTCTTTGATATGCTGAATCTAAACATGTATTTAGATTTTTGATTATGGGCCCAGTTTTCAAGTTGGTCCAAATTGGGGTCCAAAATTAAACTTTGTTTGATTTCAACAAAAATTGAATATATGAGGTTCTTTGATATGCTGAATCTAACCATGTATTTAGATTTTTTATTTGTAGGCCCCGCTATCAAATTGGTTCATATTGAGGTCAAAAGGGTCCAAAATTAAACTTTGTTTGATTTCATCGAAAATTGAATTATTGGGGTTCTTTGATATGCCAAATCTAACCGTGTTTTTAGATTTTTAATTTGGGTCCTGTTTTTTAAATTGGTCTTCATTGAGGTCCAAAGGGTCCAAAATTAAACTTAGTTTGATTTTAACAAAAATTGAATTCTTGGGGTTCTTTGATATGCTGAATCTAAACATGTGTTTAGATTTTTGATTATGGGCCCAGTTTTCAAGTTGGTCAAGTTGGGGTCCAAAATTAAACTTTTTTTGATTTCAACAAAAATTGAATATATGGGGTTCTTTGATATGCTGAATCTAACCATGAATTTAGATTTTTTATTTGTGGGCCCCGCTATCAAATTGGTTCATATTGAGGTCAAAAGGGTGCAAAATTAAACTTTGTTTGATTTCATCAAAAATTGAATTATTGGGGTTCTTTGATATTCCAAATCTAACCGTGTATTTAGATTTTTAATTTTAAGTCCCGTTTTTTAAATTGGTCTACATTAAGGTCCAAAGGGTCCAAAATTAAACTTAGTTTGATTTGAGCAAAAATTGAATTCTTGGGGTTCTTTGATATGCTGAATCTAAACATGTGTTTAGATTTTTGATTATAGGCCCAGTTTTCAAGTTTGTCCAAGTTGGGGTCCAAAATTAAACTTTGTTTGATTTTAACAAAAATTGAATATATGGGGTTCTTTGATATGCTGAATCTAACCATGTATTTTGATTTTGGACATTGGACCATAATAGGTAAATTAAAAAAATTCAAGTTCTTAGACCACATTCTTTCTGTGTCAGAAACCTATGCTGTGTCAAATATTTAATAACAATCCAAATTCAGAGCTGTATCAAGCTTGAATGTTGTGTCCATACTTGCCCCAACTGTTCAGGGTTCGACCTCTGCGGTCGTATCAAGCTGCGCCCCAGCGAAGCATTTTATTAATTTTAGTTTCCTGTGTATAATTTGGAGTTTAGTATGACGTCCATTATCACTGAACTAGTATACATAATTGTTTAGGGGCCAGCTGAAGAACGCCTCCGGGTGCGGGTGTTTCTCGCTGCATTGAGGACCTATTGGTTGCCTTCAGCTGTTGTCTGCTCTATGGTCGGGTTGTTGTCTCTTTGACACATTCCCCATTTCCATTCTCAATTTTATACATAAAAAAAGTGTTTTGTATAAGGGGAACACTTACACCCATTTAAACAACTTTAACAGAAATTGAAAAACTGGAAGTCACAAAATTTATTGATTCGTTTTTGTCTCGCCTCAATGATAGTGACGATTTCAAGAAATAGCAATCCTACAGTCTGTTGTTATGTAACATTTAGGTTCAGTCTTTGGTTAAGTTCTTATAACCAGCAATAACTTTGTCCAATCTTCATGGAATATTATGAAACTTGGAGAGAAGTTTCTTCATGGTCAAGAGACAGCATCTATAGCAAATTGTTTTCCCCCATTTTATACGCCCGTTTACGGGACGTATTATGGTATACTGTTGTCTTCCAGTCCGTCCGTCTGTCCGTCGTCAACTTGTCGGACAATAACTCAAAAACACTTTAACCAATTCACATGAAACTTTGGTGAATTGTTTATATCTATTGACGTGAGCTCCCTTTCGTTTTTTATAAGTTTAAGATTCTTAGTTTCCTAGTTTTGGAGTTTTTTTCATTAAAAAAGGGGGGATTTTTCAGTTTTTGAACAATAACTCTAAAACATTTTCACCAATTTGCAAGAAACTTTGGTGAATTGTTTATATCTATTAACATGACCTCCCTTTCGATTGTTATAAATTTTAGATTTTACGTTTCAGAGTTATGTGATTTTATTCATAAAAAAGTGGGGATTTTTCAGTTTTCATACAATGCTTTGAGCATTTATTATGAAACTTTGGTGACTGGTTTATATCTATTAAGATAACCTCCCATTAGTTTTTCATGAATTTCTGATAAGACATTGAGAAGTTATTGAGCTTTATTCTTTGAAAAAGCTACGGGCGTATCATGGGCTCATGGCGCAGCTGTTTATTTCTGTATTTTACAGATAAATGGAATGGTTTGGTTTTGGTTTTTTTATTTTTTTATTTTTAAATATTAGCATTTAGATACAGTCTAAGGTTAAATTTTTTTTTACTTTTTCAAACCTTCAGAGAATTTTACAAAGGTTGGACAGAATTTGAAGCTGCTTTATAATCAATGTAGCACCTGGAACAATATATTTCATTTTGTCTAATTAAGTTTGACTTAGTTTATTTTTGTCAGCCTAATTCTGATAGCAGCAATTAGTTGGGACTTACAAGTTTGTTTAGATGGAAACTGATTTCAGTGCCTCTGAGCTTTGATTGATTTCTTGAGTTCTCTATACCAAAGAATGCACATTGACATTTCTGTTTATCGGTATATTATTTGGATACAGCAGGGGACACATGTCTTCCTTTTTATCTATAACGAGTTGTCAGTTTAAAGAAAAACAATTTTATTGTATTGTTGATTGCTCTATTAAATATTTGAATACTTGAGAAGTGTATGAAAGAAATAAATTTGTAATATTGAATCTTTGATAAATTCCTTTAAGGAATTTATTTTTGCTTTTGGATTTTTCGTAATTATACCTTTTTGAAGGTGTTTTGGACATATTTGAATAGTAAGCTTAAGAATGGAAATTCCAATATTTGCAGCTTGAAATTTCCAATTTTTTTTCATCACTGACTGCTAGGTATTTCATCTTGATAAATCCTGTGTGGAATAAGATCTGCATGAAAGAGTGATTTGTGTGTTATTACAGGTGACAGACACAGAAATTAAACAGCTACAAGATAAACAGGAAGCCTTGATTATACAGTGGAAAAATTCACCACAAATTACAGGTACTTGAAGTTCATAGGAATAGGAGTTTGTGTGGGATATTTGTCTGTCAATACATATTCCAGTGTTTAACTGTGATATTTTATACTTGTCTGTCAAAATTTAAGAACAGGATGTACACACAGATTTTTAACACAAGTTTGATAAACAGATTATGTTTCCAAACATTTGAAACAGTATGTAATAAGTACATGTATATCTGAATAGTCTTATACTGATGCCTCAATTTTGAATATCTTTCATTTGAAAAAAAAAAAATTAAAACTGCTATATGTGAAAATTAATTAATGTGTTTTGTATAAACTGAAATTTGTGTCCATGTACTTTTGTTGATATTTTGTATGTATCTCCAGCACAACTTGGCAATGCCGTACAACAGTTACAACAAAAATTGGAGTTTGTTAAAACTCAGATCCAGCAAACGCAACAAGGAGGGGGAGATAATCATGCTGAGTTAGAGAAACTGAGGAATGAAAAAGATGAGCTAATGACCAGGGAAAAAGATATGTCAGCACAGCTTAAAAATGTTCAGACAGAATTAGCAGCCAAGGCTCAAGAAGTTATAGAACTTCGTTCGGTAATTAGAGGAAGTGAAATAATATTAACACTGCTTCAAAGTCATGTAATGCTTTAAGTATATTCTAAACATTTCTAGATGGCATTTTTATATTAATCCTAAAAGATAACACTCATCCTTTAAAATGTCAAGTGTTCATTTATTTTCATGAAATGCTAAGAAATTTAAATTTGCATATTATAAATAAATTTTATAAACAATGAAAAAACAACTATATTTGTTGCTTGATGGTTTCTATCAAAATTGTTTCGAAACACTTAGTTTTAATGCTATTGCTTAAAATTAAGCAGAAATAACATTTTCTAAACTATCGCTACTAGTATTATTGTGTCACCTTTTTGTCGCAGTATGCAAGATAGGTATTACAATCGGAGGGTGGCAATGGTGTAAACTATTTGTTTAAAACTTTATACTTCAGAAGGTAGAAGACCTGGATGCTTCATACCTTGTGTGAAGATACCTTATGTTACGAAGATTCCGTCTGTCATATGTCCATTGTCCTTGACCTCATTCTCATGGTTCAGCGACTCTTTGAAAAAAAATTACAGGTTTTTTTTGTTAAGTGAAATACTCACTTATTATGAGTAATAGGATAAGTACATTTGGTATATGGGTTCCTTGCAACGTCTACATGTCTGTCAGGTAGGGTTCACCTGACCTCAACCTCATTCCATGGATCAGTGATCAAGGTTAAAGTGGTCCAATCCCTATCTCAGATCGATTCTTTAAGCAGTAGGTCAACTATATTTGGTGTATTGAAGAATTGTAATGTGTACATGTCTGTCTGGCAGGGTTCATATGACCTTGACCTCCTTTTCATGATTCATTGGTCAATGTTAAGATATTGTGGTTTGATCTGTTTTTCGGGTACTTTTAGCAATAAGACCACTATATTTGGTGTATGGAATGATTTTAAGGTGCACATGTGTGTCTGGCATGGTTCATCTGACTTTGACCTCATTTTCAAAGAACATTGATAATGTTAAGTTTATGTGATACTTGTAGTAAGACCTTCATAAGACATATTGCATACTTTCAACATGAATTCAATGATAAGTAAAACAGGCGAGATATTTCAGCATGTGCACTCTTGTTTACTTAAAACAGAATCAATATTTAGATTGATAAATTTATTTTGTTATATGACGAATGATTTGATTTATTAAAGAAATAATATGTTGTAATACTGTTTAGAGATGAAGATTCTCCCTTAGGATATTTTTGTCTCTTGAATTGTCATAATCATAATTTCATCTTCCAAAGGATTAGTGTGAGCAGTACTACCACTTGTCAAACTTTGTCATAAAAACAGAATTAAATCTTTTGCTCTGAAGCTGCCAAGCATCGTTGTACATGAATTGTCTTGTGTTATCCTTTGTTAGTACAAGAAATACAACACAATTAAAAAATCAAGGAAAATTCATAAAATTCTGAAAGGGGCTATTTGCTATCAAACTTTTAAGGAAATGGTAGATTTCTTATATCCTACAAGAATTATAATTAAGTACTTCTCCAGCCACCAAACATGGCTGCCAACCTGCAACATTACTAAAATTATAAAATTTTCTTATTTAGACTTTACTTACCAAATATAAGAAATCCTTCCTGTTTTTGGAAGATGTACAAAAAAAGGTGATTGATGTAGAGTTGATTGCATGGAAACGTAAACAACAGTTGTCAGGGAATGGTGCACCAATAGAGGAGAAACTTCTAGACAGGCTACAGTCTTGGTATGTTATTATCTCCAAAAACAAACAACAGTTTTCATAAAACAGTTTTGCTTATTTTACATTCGTTTATGATATAAGACCTTGATCTTTGCCTTCAATATCTGTAGAATGCAAGACTCGTATGCTAGTCTATTTAAAACTACTTAATTATTTCAATTTTTCATTCAATTATTTCAATTTTTCATTCAAAGATTTTTTATTACTTTTCAAGTTATGTTTACCAAATGCATAAAGTATTTATTTATCATACTTTATATCAAAGAAGAGGGAAACAATATGTGTTTTATAATTACACCCAAAAAGGAGGGTTTGTTTTACTCTATACTTGTTTCACTGTTTTTGGCCATTGTAAGACCTATAGTTAATGTTGGAAATTTAATCTTTAAGCAAAAATGTGTACATGTTACAGGAGTGAAAGCTTGGCAGAAATCATTTGGAAGAGTCGACAACAGATTTTACAGTTTGAAGTATTACGTACTCGTCTCCCATTGAACACCTCAGCAGAGAACCAGTCTGACATATTACCAGATTTGAATCAGAAGATTACAGCACTATTGTCATCTTTAGTTACCAGGTATTTGAAAAGTTATAAGGTCTGCTGGGGACTGAATTACATATTTATGATTGCCTTTTTACTGTGAATTATATTATGTAAATCAAAACTTAGGATAATTTTAATGAAAAGTGACGAAAAATACATGCATAATGTCATCTAAATTTTGAGGAGAATTACATTTGTGATCATTTATTAGACTACCATTAGAAATGGCTGTCGTTATCAATAAAACAGAAAATTAGGCAAAAAGTTCAATTTACAAATCCCAAAGAATTCAGTATATGGCCATTTACATTTCAGGACCAATTATTTTATTGATTTAAAAGACCTTGACTGCTCTAGAATATTTAGATGTCACTAGCAATAAAAGAGTTGACAAATTGTGATGATTTATTTTTTATGCCCCACCTAGGGGCATTATGTTTTTCGGTCTGTGCGTCCGTTCTTTCGTGCGTCCGTCTGTCCCCCTTCAGGTTAAAGTTATTGGTCAAGGTAATTTTTGATGAAGTTGAAGTTCAATCAACTTTAAACTTAGTACACATGTTCCCTATGATATGATCTTTCTAATTTTAATGCCAAATTAGACTTTTGACCCCAATTTCACGCTCCACTGAGCATAGAAAATGATAATGCGAGTGTGGCATCCGTGTACTATGGACACGTTCTTGTTAAATCTTATAAATACCTATATGTTGGTCAGCCTTTGAAAATGGCACCATCTGCACATCAGTTTCACATTGACTAATAGTTGAGGGATGCTTGTAGTTGTACTGAAATCTTTCATTATTTTATTGTTAAATTTCTATCAGGATTTTTAAAACTACTAATATCTCTTTAAACACAACAGGTTTATGCTTGAAAACATCGATTGTGTCCTGCTCATAGTAAAATTTTCAATAAACACAAGTTTCAAGGTTTTTGATTTGTATACGGCCATCTAAGACGGGATGTATTATAATAAGCCTGTGTAAGATTCGTCCTTCTATTAAGACTTTGAACAATGATTCAAATTTGCTTTATTTATTTCTTATGAAAGGAGTATGACTATGAAGGCCTAAAATTGGCAAAAAAATCAAACTTTGTAACACCATATGTAAAAACCTATATTTACGATCTTAGATATACAAATTTAGATAACCTGGACACTTTTGTTGTCTGTTGTTTGTTTTAACAATGTTATAAGCTTCAAAAGAATGATATTTTTCAAGATTTTAGCTAAATTGCCTGTTTTTGTTGAGTCTGCGACTTCTGTCCCAGAAAGCGAGACATAGGGATAGTGATGCGGCAGTAAAAGCAGCATTAACTAACTACTTAAAAGCTTAATATTTCAGAAGGTAGAAGACCTGGATGCTTCATACTTTGCCTGGATGCTTCATACTTTGTACATAGATGCCTCATGATATGAAGTTTCCGTCTGTCATATGTCCATTGTCCTTGACCTTGTTTTCATGGTTTTACCTACTTGAAAAAAAAGTTAAGATTTTTTGTAATGTTACTTCCTCTCTTATTATGAGTAATAGGATAACTATATTTGGTATGTGCGTACCTTGCAAGGTCCTCATGCCTGTCAGACAGTTTTCACTTGACCTCAACCTCATTTCATGGATCAGTGAACAAGGTTAAGTTTTTGTAGTCAAGTCCTTATCTCAGATACTATAAGCAATAGGTCTACTATATTTGCTGTATGGAAGGATTGTAAGGTGTACATGTCCAACTGGCAGGTGTCATCTGACCTTGACATCATTTTCATGGTTCAGTGGTCAAAGTTAAGTTTTTGTGTTTTGGTCTGTTTTCCTTATACTGTATGCAAGAGGTCTTCTATATTTGGTGTATGGAAATATTTTATGATGTACATGTCTGTCTGGCAGGTATCATCTGACCTTGACCTCATTTTCATGGTTCATTGGTGAATGTTAAGTTTTCTTGGTTTAGTTTGTTTCATAGATACTATAAGCAATATTTCAACAGATTTGATCCATGGAATGATTTAAAGGTGCACATGTCTGTCTGGCAGGATTTATCTGACCTTGACCTCATTTTCATGATTCATTGGTCAATAAAAAGTTTTTATGGTTTCATCTGTTTCTCGTATACTATAAGCAATAGGTAAAGTATATTCAGTGTATGGAATGATTGTAGGGTGTACATGAATTTCCGGCTTTGTTTATCTGACCTTGACCTCATTTTCTTGGATCATTTTTATGATAATGTGATACTTGTAGAAAAACTTTATATTTAGGACTATCAACATAAAATCAATGGTTACTTTGACCTATAATTGTTTACTTTTTACACATTGTGACGTGGATGGATAGTTGTCTCATTGGCACTCATACCACATCTTCTTATTCATAATTATACCCCACGCAACGGGTTGCGGAGGGTATAATGTTTTTGACCCGTCAGTCAGTCCGTCCGTCCGTCAGTCCTGTTTCTTGTCATCCCAACTCCTCTCAAACCACCCAACAGAATTTCACGAAACCTTTTTAGATAATAAGGACATACTATGTAGTTGTGCATAATGGCAGGAAATTGCGATTCAATTTTTTTTCTAGGAGTTACGCCCCTTTGAACTTATTTACTTTAATGTACTACTGCAACAGTTTGTCATCCCAACTCCTCTGAAACCACACAACAGAATTTCATGAAACCTTTTTAGATAATAAGGACTTACTATGTAGTTGTGCACATCGACAGGAAATTACGATTAAATTTTTTTTCTAGGAGTTACGCCCCTTTGAACTTATTTGCTTCAATGTACTACTGCAACAGTTTGTCATCGCAACTCCTCTGAAACCACACAACAGAATTTCATGAAACCTTTTTAGATAATAAGGACATACTATGTAGATGTGCATATGGACAGGAAATTACGATTCAATTTTTTTTCTAGGAGTTACGCCCCTTTGAACTTATTTGCTTCAATGTACTACTGCAACAGTTTGTCATCGCAACTCCTCTGAAACCACACAACAGAATTTCATGAAACCTTTTTAGATAATAAGGACATACTATGTAGATGTGCATATGGACAGGAAATTACGATTCAATTTTTTTTCTAGGAGTTACGCCCCTTTGAACTTATTTGCATCAATGCACTTCTGCAACAGTTTGTCATCGCAACTCCTCTGAAACCACACAACAGAATTTCATGAAACTTTGTAGATAATAAGGACATACTATGTAGAAGTGCATATTGACAGGATATTATGATTCAATTTTTTTTTCTTATACAATTTTTTTTTTCTTACACTTATTTTATTTCTCCAATGACAATGTGGGGACGTGGGGTATGTGCGCGCTCACTAAGGTTCTTTAATTGGTAAAGCAGGCGAGACATTTCAGCATGTGCACTCTTGTTAAGTGTGTGTAAGATCTAGTTCCTTCTGACCAACATTGGCCTCACCCTTCTACCAAAATAAAATTGCTATAAAAAGATGTATATAGGTCAGATACATATCCTAAAAAAGTCATGGTGGTCCTTGCATGTGGCCAATATTGTTTTGAAGCAAAAACTATTAAAATTTAGGAAAAAATAGTCAAAGTTTTGATTTTCTTCATCAGAATGCACAATTATGCTATCACTATGACATCCCAGAGCTGGTTGAATTTGTATTTGACAGATATTTCTACATATTTTGTCATCAAAATTTTGCTTTTATTACCAAAGTTAAATTTCACAAAATTTTAGGGCCAATATCGACCCTTCATGAACCTACTCCTTATAACAAAAAGTTAGGACTGGCAGAAGAAAGTGTGCTTTTGATTTAAACAATTTTAAATTTTGAGTTATTTGAACATTTTAACAAGTGTTGTTCAACCTGAAGGTCCCTTTTGATTTTCATGATTTTCACGGTTGTCATTCCACAGTAATGGGACTTCTTGTCCAACAACTCCAGTGTGTTTGGATTGATTTTCTCAAAACTTTTCACTGTTGTTGAGATTGATAAAAAGAAGCTGCCTTTGATTTTGAAAATTTCTTGGTTTGCTGCCTAGGGTTACGGGACATTGACTGTCAGATTTAAGTATAATTTTTATATATTGTACCATAACTTGGGAGTGCTTGGACTGATTTACTAGAGTCTTTACACAATTGTTGGAATTGGTGAAAGATACCTTTTGATTTGTCATCCCAGGTTATGGGACTTTAAATGTCAGATTTAAGTTAATTTTTTCCATGTCATACACTAACTCTAGTATGCTTGGATCAAATTACAACAAACTTTACACTGTTGTTGGAAAGGTGAATGAAGGCCTGCTTTTGATCTTGAACATTTTTTCTGGTTTGTTGTTCCAGAGTTATGGGACTTTTGAACAGTGATATCTAAGGCAATATTCATGCACCAAACATAGCCTTTTGACTGTTTTCTGATAAGGTGCCTTCTAAATATTTCATTTGATTATAATGACAACAACTTCAATATGCACATGAAGGGCCTATCATGCTCTCTTGGTGCAGCTGCTTGATAAAATGATATTCCAGGTCCATTTTAAAAAGTATTTCATTGTTTCAGTACATTTGTGGTTGAACATCAGCCTCCTCAAGTGTTGAAGAAAGAATCCAGGTTCACTGCCAAGATTAGATTGTTGGTAGGAGGGAAACTGAACATCCACATGAATCCACCTACAGTGAAAGCTTCAATAATCAGGTAATATATATCATCTATAGGAAACAACCTATTGTGAAACCTACTACTCTGGAGTTATACCATGTTCCTTCTCCTTCGAGGCTGTCATAGCATTGCCTTATTCTATGCTTTTGTATTTCAACGCCTTGCTATTGGACAGACCACAGTTCTATTCAATCACATCACTGAGCTTTTTTCAATTTTTATACCCCTGCACAACAGAGTTGGGGGTATATAGGAATCCTAATGTCCTTCTATCCATCTTTCTATCTGTCCATCATGCTTTTATCCAAACTTAAGTAGGCAGTATTTATATATTTTTCTGAATCAATACTAACAGGGGATTGCTTGGATTTTACATATTGCATTTAATGAATCATAAACAGTCATATTGTCAAAATGTAAACAGGAAGTTGATGGGAGACAATTTTGGTGGGAGAATGTACTAAATCCAAATCTGGTGGCAATAATTCAATGTTATAAAATTATCACACATAATCTTTATAAGTTGTTGTATGCTTCAATTGGCAAATAGCATTCTTTATAGACAACCCAATTTATAAAAAAAAATGGAGAATTGTATTTCTGTTAAAAAAATCTTTCACAGAAGGTTGCTTTAGAGAGGGGTGTGTATACTATCTTTCACAGAAGATTGCTTTAATGAGGGTGTGTATAGTATCTTTCAAAGACGGTTGCTTAAGAGAGGGGTTTGTAAACTATATTTTACAGAATGTTGCTTTACAGAGGGATCAACCCTATGCAGTGTTTACAACAGAATTAGAAAAATAAAGTCTTTGTAGACTTGCTGCTTTTACAAAAACTGTACATAAGTATTCCATGGATTTAATGGCATTATCAACTACTATTTTGTTTTAAAAGTTTGATTTTTTACTAGATAATTACAATAATATAACTTGTCATTCCTAGATTGATCATGTTTTATTGGGTTTTGCTTTGTTTGTTTTAGTGAGGAACAGGCACGGGGATTACTGAAGAGTGATGTAACAGCTAAAGATGCTGATAGTGGGGACATATTGAATAAAGAAGGAACAATGGAGTATCATGATGGAAAAGGAGAACTAAGTATACAGTTCAGGAATATGGTAGTGTATTTTTGTTTCATGAGAACTAAGTATACAGTTCAGGAATATGGTAGTGTATTTTTGTTTACATTACACTTTGGTCATTCTTTCTTAAATTGATCCCTATATGTTTTATGATTTTTTGACAACAGAGCTTGACAAAAAGACCAGTAAGTTAAAAAAAAATTATCATACAAGTAAAATCTGAAAGTCATTTGACAATGAATTTTATTTGACACTTTGAAACAGGATAAAACCTGTAAGTGCAGTGTGCAGTTTAAATACATATTTGGATGAATAAGAACACTGAATAACATTATCATAAACAGCATAGGTTTTGATGCCGGGTTTATATTTCATTTGAACTTAATTTGTAATGATATAGACAAAGGAGTAATACATCTATAGCAGAAAAATGTATTCAAAACTATATTTATGCCCCCGCCATAGCGGTGAGGGCATTAAGTTTTACCCTTGTCCGTCTGTACGTACGTACATGTACGTCCCTCCGTACGTCCCAAAATTGGTTTCCGTTCTCTAACTTGAGTTAGCCTCAACCAAATGTTATGAAACTTATACACAATGCTTATTACCACAAAACTCTGATCAAGTTCAAATTTGGGTAGCGTCACTTTTACCGTTCTTCATTTATGTCCCTTTATAACTATATGATATGCAAGCGGGGGCATCATCTGTGTCCACATGTGAACACTATCCACATTTATTTATTTAAAGAATCTATCGTTTTAGATATATTAATAATTATTTTGAAGATGTTAACGGATTTCTTTTTATTCCTCCCTGTAGTACTATACACGTACAGATTATTTGATTTTCTTTCACATGGTTAATATTAATTTGGTTATTTTATGAGATTTTGTTATAAAGTTAATTAGATTTTTTTATTATGAATATTTTTTATTACAGCAACTCAAGAAGATTAAAAGAGCAGATAAAAAAGGAACAGAAGTAAGTTTGTGAATTTGATATGTTAAAGATTATTTTTCAGTAGAAAGTTTCATAAAAAAATTTAAAAAATCAATTCATATAAAAATCGAAGATTTGGTATGGTTGCCAATGAGACAACTCTCCACCAGAGACCAAATGACAAAGAAGGTTACGACTATAGGTCACTGTACGGCCTTGGAAAATGAGCAAAAGCTGTGAAAAGCCTGGAAATGACAAATGTAAAACAATTCAAACGAAATAATCAGTCTGTAGGCTTGCCTCCCCTCCCCCCCCCCCCCCCCTGAATTTTTTTTTTGACTTACAATGAAAATGGTGCACTCTGAGGCATTTTCAGACTGTTTCTAGTTAATAAAAAATGAGGTTTCATAGGAATAACATTTTTTTAGTAAGGTTAATCTTATTAGTAAATTGTGATAGTGCTTATCAAATAAAAATATTTTGATATCAATAATGATTTTAATTGTAATGATTATTGACAGAAAACTGGCTGCAGCGCTTCGTATGGTAGGGTTAACCTCCACAATTCCAATTGCTGTAGAATCATTCTTTATTAATAACTAATTAATAAAACTAATATACACAAAATCAAAAATTGCAGGCCAATCTATATGAATTTTTCTGATTTTTTTTTTGTTATTGAAATTTTCAGAGTAGGTTAGACTATAAAATTATAACAGAAATTAATTATTATGATCATTATTAAAGAATTGTCAGTCACAACAACTATTGATATTCATGTGTAAATTGTATAATATGTGATTCTGTTTTCACCTGCTTCTTTTTTTCTTTTTGGGGGCTGTGAAGAAATCAAGCAACGTCAGTTTTCTTTTTGCTTTATTACTTGTCATCTTGGATCAACATGTGTTTTCTCTCTGTGTCAAAAGGCTGCTTTACTAATATGTAGAATTATCCTTTTTCAAAGTGCACAAATGATTGCATTAAAAATCCTTTCGGATGTCTCGTTCCTTATTCATCTCTGCAACGTTGTCAAGAATCTATGAATATATTATAATGCGGACCTCTACGAGAACACCTAAACAAAGCGCAAGCAAAGACAAAAGTCAATTCAATTGATAACAACTTGTTTTACGCAACGATAGCACAGTTTTATTTATTTTATTTTTATTTGAAAACACAATTTGAACTGGTTATTTCCTTAATTTGAAACGGAAATTTGCCAGGTGCCGGTGCTTATTGAAAACCCTGGCACAGGGCAGAATCTGCCAACAAAGTAATTTCATTTATATGACCTAACAGGTTAATTCATATTCCCTAACACCAATTTATCTATGCAGTGATGTGAAGGATAAGCTTTCCCAGTTTTATTGAGCTGCTGTTTATATTATTTGTTTTTGTTTTATAGGCTGTAACAGAAGAAAAGTTTTGTATCCTGTTCCAATCTGATTTTCAGCTTGGCATTAATGGTGAACTGATGTTTCAGGTTTGGGTATGTTTGATTACTCACTATTAGAGTCAAAATTAGAATTTTTTTTTTTTGTCTTTTACCTTTCAACATTCTAATAATTACATTCAATTATAAAACTGGAATGTTTGTAAATTAAAGTAACACATTGTTTTCTATTTACTTCTCACTGTAGCTCTCTACTACATGGAACCAGTATTTTACAAGTATACTTCCCAAAAAGGGAAATAATTTGTATTCAAATGTAATTTTAAAATCAGATTTAGGCTTTCCAAAGTGAGTTTCTAGAAAGTCCTATACAGATATCTTCTGGTCTGAAGTTCTCATCCGAATTATGTCCATCTTCACCTAATTTTCATATTTTGTGAGGATGATGAATTGGAGCTTAATATCCATTTCCAAATATTACATGCACATCAGGTTAAGAACATGTTAAAGTGGTATAAATACGAACCTTGCTTTATACCAGACAGACATGCTTAGCCATACTAGTTCACAAGGTAATAGATAACAGGAAGACATGTCACCCTACCAAGACACATTTTTCATTGTGCTTTTACTCCTAAAAGCCTAGTGTTCATAGGATATGCAGTAAATACCAATTTTTAAGGGCAAACAATACAGTAGCAGAGGCAGATAATAGCAGATACATTCCGCTTGTCTTTGATAATGATAAGCACCCAAAACTCAAGGATTATTCACAAATGACATCAAATCAAATAAGTGAATTTGATAATTAGTTACAAAGGAAAAGGAACCTATTGTATATTTCAGCATACGAAATTTACTCCAGGGGCATAAAACTCATGACAAGATTGCAAACATATTGAAATTGTGCACCTTCTATTGAGGAATAAATTTTTCACTTTTTCCAGACTGCTACTAAGTTTTTTATCAGCAATGTTTTCAATTAACAGTTTGCACACCTTTTTAAGTTTTGCACCTATCATTATGAAGTTGTATTAAGATTTTCCCCCATTATTCCATTAAATATTCCATATATTTAAATGTTCATTAAAGAACATTCTCCATTGTGTAATTTGAATCTTTGATTCATTTTATATAAAAACACTATGTAATATTATTATAAAAGTAAATAAGGAAAAGTTTCTGATTATATTTTTTTTAGACATTATCACTTCCTGTTGTTGTAACAGTCCATGGAAACCAAGAATGCAATGCCCTAGCAACAGTGTTATGGGACAACCAGTTTGCTGAGCCAGTAATTATTAGTAGTTTTCAAAAGAATGTAAATTCTTCATAAGTTTTAAGCATGCATGTACTACATGGTAAATGGTAACGTATCTTGCATGCCATTACCTTTGTTGTTAGGTGATAAGTTACATGAAGGTAACAGGTAAGGTTAATGAATGAACTTCATGGTTTATTTGGACTTTCGTTGAAATATTACTTTTGTCCTTACTGAGTAATTATGTTTAAAATAGTCAGATATGAAGTATCTGTTTCATAACTTGAGAATGCCTTCACCAGATCTCTTGAATTTAAGCAGTGCTAGTGATCACTAAACTTGTGTTAATTAATGGTTTTATGGTATTTTTTTGCACAATTATTCTATGAAGCTGCCATTATATGGAATGGTAACTTTTGTTTTAGGTAACATATCCTTTAGAAAGGAGAAGGTATGATAAGGCAACTTTTTTGGCCCCTTGATCCTTTAGTGTTCATAAGACACAAGTCTGTTGGACATTATTATCTTCTTTTGAATTTTGTCCTAAATATTGACATAAGAGCTTCAAACTTCCTGATTTAGTGGAAAACAACAAAAACTGCCAAAATAGAGAGGATGGACAATGGGATCCCTGATTCCCATTTCACTACCCCCAACTCCCACTTCCTAACCACCTTACTCCAAGATGAAAAAGCGGTCAATTTTTTTTCTCCAGAATATTCCCATTTTTACTCTGCCTCTTCCCCTGGTTCCCGCCCCCTCATTTCCATGTTGCCTTACCCCTGTCCACCCCTCAAAATAGTCTCATTTTGAGATGTTGTCATTAATATTTAGGTATGAGCAAATGCTTTACCCAAAGAGATATATTGCTTCAAAATGTATTTTACAAAGATGTTAAATATCTTTAGGGGTAAAGCTGTTGCTCATATATATTTTGACCAAAAACTATGCCTGAAATGGACATTTTAGGTCTAATACATAATCTAGCTTCCATGATCTCTTTTTTTTTAACTGAATAAGTCTCTGCTGAATTTAGTCAGTATTGGTAGGTGGGCCATTTGTGTTCTGTGCAGTTGTTTTGTTTTTGAAAAGAATAACAGTTTAAAAGTCTTACTGTAGATAACAACTACAGGCAAATATAGATAGTTACTGACAGAGTGAGTAGAGAACAGGGGTATTGTATTATGCATGCATGTATACAGAATAGTACCATTATGTTATATCATACTGATATGTAAACAAGAATGATTATTGTTAAACTGTACATGTGTATAAGCATTTAGCGGTAAGCTAACGGTACATTTTTTATGCCTGTCATAATATGGCTAAAAGCTTAATGGATGGTACACTTAAGTGTTGTTCTTTGAAATAAATGTTTCATGCATGCATGTTAAATGTGTTGTTGATATAGTAACGGTATATAAACATTTTTGTAAAAGATTCAAAACCATTTAGTTATATTTATAGCAGGTGTACAATTCAAACAGATAATGAATAGAAATATGAAACAGTAAAATATCTTTTTAATAACATAAAATAATTATTGATATTTGATAGATATTGTATGTCCAATTTACTTTAAGCTTGAAATCAACATCTTCATTATGCAAATTTCACTTTTATGACAAAAAATTGATTGTGCTTGGGACTATAGTGCTTACATATCACTACATGATATTTACTGAACTAATATTTTAAATAATTTTTTGAAAATACAGCAAAGAATGAAATAAACATATGACATAAAGAACTGAGCTGACTGCTATTATTTTCCAGCAACATTTGAATGACATTGTTTTTCCAAAGTCTGCCCAACTATAATATACATAGTTTGTCCCATTACCCTCCTTTCCATTGTAAAGATAGAAATGTTATTTTGACGATTATGTGTGGGGCCATATTGCACTCAGGTTGTCCATTAAAAAAATATTTTTGTTGCACTTTATCAGGGACTAGAATGACTTCATAATTAGTTTAAAAATGAAAGTAATGAGTTGTAACGTGTGATCACTTTTCAGATCTATCAGACACATACTACCAATTTCATACCAAGGATCTGGAATTTTTTTCACACAATTTCAGTCCTTTTTAGATGACTTGAAAGTTGGGCTCCTTTTTTCAAACTGTCCAATTTATTCATAATAGATTCAAGGCATCAACAATATTGATGGTTTCGTTGCATTTACTGCAAGAAGTTTATGGGATTTGTTGTGTTTATTAAATGGGAGGAAAGCATCTGATTTTTGATTTATGACCTGTAGATGTGTTTGAATATAACTGATAATAGTTTCACTAGTTTAGTTTGGCATGAAGACATTTGGCATTTTAAGATTAAGTGTGTAATCTGGTGAAGACTATTACACGCATGTGTATTACATAGTAAATCAAGCACACATCTATATCGTAAAAATGACTTTTTTCTATCTAATTAACGTTTAAATCAGAATTGGAGAATTTCTTTGCTAAAAAGTTATTAAATAATGAATTAAGTTGTCATGGAAGAGAAGTTCTTTATGATACTAGTTCTGAGCTTGATCACTTCTGTCAGGTGTTAAGGACACTCGAAAAAAGTGATAGCAATCATTAACCAATTTCTCCTGAAGGCATTAATATTGTAATTAGGAGTGCCCTCTGGATAATCATACTATACTGGAGTTAAAGTTTAATTACCAGAAAAGCAAAGCATTTCAAAACAAAAGTTAGTGCAAAAACCCTGATTTTTAACCTAAATCGCAATCTATCATTTCCTTCAATAAGCTTTCAGTTAAGGTCATGTCTAGCAAATATCACCGTTTCCAGACCTTTGTTTCAGACACTTTGAATTTTTAAATATGTTCAATGGTCTTGATATTTTCATCACATTCTTCTACTACTGGACAGAATGACTTCATATTTGTTCAGCAGCTTGACAGTGATTGATGTAAGGTGTTAGCGCTCAGTGGATCTGTCAGACACCCTCTCCCTGCTTGCCAATGCTTTGAACTTTTCAATATGCTGAATGAACATGATATTTTAATCGCACATTTCTCCAGTATTAGTGAAGAGAATGACTTCATCTCTGGTCTGCAGCTTGTGAGTGATGAAATTTTACACGTTTTAGATCCAGACACCTACATCCTGTTTTTTGATACTTTGAATTAATAGTGGGATATGCTTAGCATGGCAACATACAAATTCTTGTTCCAGATTGTTATACCAGAGTTGCTAGACTTTATATGACATAATTAAATTTGTACAAATATGTTTCACAAAATTAGATTATTTATACATATATTTTGACAATTCTCCTACATGGAATCCATATTGCTTTATAATAATATCATCCATTTTCATCTTTGATATTGTAGGAAATTGCTTCAAGGATATCATAATAATAAACGAACCATTATTTGTTTTCAGGGAAGAACACCATTCCAAGTTCCTAGTCAGGTGTCATGGACATTAATGTCACAGCTCCTTAACACTAAATTTCAGTCAGTGACAGGGAGAGGACTCTGTGCAGAAAACCTTAAATATCTGGCATCAAAAGTGTTTGGTAAGCATAATTCTAGTCTTAAAGTTATCTAAATAATTTAGGATTCCGTGCAGATGATATTCACTACTTGGCATCAGAAGTGTTTGGTAAGAATTAGTCTAGTCAAGTTATTCAAGCAATTTAGGACTCTGTGTAGATAACTTTAATTATCTTGCATCAAAAGTTTTTGGTAAGCACAATTCTAGTCCTGAAGTTATCCAAATAATTTTGGATTCTGTGCAGATGACCTTCACTACTTGGCATCAGAAGCGTTTGGTAAGAATTAATCTAGTCTAGTTATTCAAGGAATTTAGGACTATGTGTAGATAACTTTAATTAACTTGCATCAAAAGTTTTTGGTAAGCATAATTCTAGTCCTAAAGTTATCCAAATAATTTTGGATTCTGTGCAGATGACCTTCACTACTTGGCATCAGAAGTGTTTAATAAGAATTAGTCTAGTCCTTAAGTTATTCAAGGAATTTAGGACTCTTTGTAGATAACTTTAATTATCTTGCATCAAAAGTTTTTGGTAAGCATAATTCTAGTCCTTAAGTTATCCAAATATGTCCTTTATGGGCTGATAATTGGTTTGATAAAGTACTGTAAACAAACTTAATTACGCACATACTTTATTTTGAGTTAAGTTCTTTCTAATCAACTTAGTGGCGATTTATTTTAGCAATCTTCATTGTTTTATGTATTTATATAAGGGATCCAAGTTTCACATATTCACGACGATTTAAATTAGTGTTATTTTTCGACTCACTCAAGTCAACTGATGGTTATACCTATTTCATCTGATGGTTATGCCTATTACTACTGATGGTTATACCTATTACAGCTGATGGTTATACCTATTACTACTGATGGTTATACCTACTACTGATGGTTATACCTATTTCATCTGATGGTTATACCTATTACTACTGATGGTTATACCTATTACAGCTGATGGTTATACATATTACTACTGATGGTTATACCTACTACTGATGGTTATACCTATTACTACTGATGGTTATACCTATTACTACTGTTGGTTATACCTATTATTACTGATGGTTATACCTATTTCATCTGATGGTTATACCTATTTCATCTGATGGTTATACCTATTACTACTGATGGTTATACCTATTTCATCTGATGGTTATACCTATTACTACTGTTGGTTATACCTATTACTACTGATGGTTATACCTATTTCATCTGATGGTTATACCTATTTCATCTGATGGTTATACCTATTACTACTGATGGTTATACCTATTACATCTGATGGTTATACCTATTACTACTGATGGTTATACCTATTATTACTGATGGTTAAACCTATTACTACTGATGGTTATACCTCTTACTGCTGATGGTTATACCAATTACTACTTATGGTTATATCTATAACTGCTGATGGTTATACTTATAACTGTTGATGGTTATACCTATTACTACTGATAGTTATAACTTTTCCTACTGATGGTTAATAAAATTGTTTCTGCTGATGGTTTTAACTATATTAATTGATGGTTATAACTATACTACTGATGGTTATAACTATATTTATTGATGGTTATAACTATACAACTGATGGTTATAACTATATTTATTGATGGTTATAACTATATTTATTGATGGTTGTAACTATATTTATTGATGGTTATAACTATATTTATTGTTGGTTATAACTATATTTATTGATGGTTATAACTATACAACTGATCGTTATATCTAGTCATTTTCTTAATGATGGATATCAACAAAATGTGATAAACGTTATACACTTAGGAAGGTAATACTACTATCAACTTATCAACATGATACTGAATATAATACTGCGATCAAGTTATGAATATAATGCTGCTCAGACATGGGGTAATTGAAATATGTAATTGTAATTGAATGTAATTAATTACAATTTTTTAAGTAATTGAATGTAATTGTGAAGTTTCTGTCTGTCATATGTTACATTTATTTATAATTGCAGGAGGAAAACCAACAGATGAATATTCAAATCACAACATAAATTGGTCATTATTTAATAAGGTATGGTCTTGTTATTTGTTTATTCTCAGAGAATTTTTTTTTTTTCTGTGAACAGTTGATATATTTTCCATTAAAGCCAAATGAATGTTTAAACAGGTATTAGCTGTCAAATTCATGTTCACCGATTTGACTCAAATTCTCATATTTAATTTATATCATACTAAAACATATATCCAAATTACAATAAGTCTGAAATATACAATTAACAATTCATGAACTCGATAATATATATCAGCATTTTGTGTGTATTTTAGTCTAGCCACCATCTAATTAACCATCGAGATGACCTCCGAAGACGGCTGACAGTCACATAACCCAATATAAACATAAACATAAATATAAATAGATAGCGACCTCGTGCAATTGGACTTTTCTAGGTCTGTTTGATTTCATGTTATAGGTTAAAAAAATAAGTTAATCATGGTTTTTACCTGTGTAAGAACGAAATGGTTCACCTTTGTTTCACTTTCAATGTTGACATTCTTCTTCCTTTTAATGGCTGAAAACCACTAATACATGCATAACCAATCTCTAACTAATGGGTTAAATTGAAGGTCACATGAATACGTATTCAATGAGGTCGAATTATTCACTTGCAAGTGAATAATTCATCAGTGACGTTTCTTAGCTTATTTTGACAAAATTGGACTAAACTGGCTGCTAAAAGTGAATTATTATTTCACTATTTCACTTTCATTAATGATTGAACAAAAAAAAATCATATTTTTTTATATCTCGTAGCTAATGCCCCTTTAGTTTATAAGTTTTCAAAGACTTAAAAGTAGAGAATCAGGACGAAAAAAAACAGCCTTAAAAGTATTTTGTGAAGGGTTGAAATAGCTGAAATCAAACTGTCAATATTCTTAATTACATGTATATACCCTGAGACCTTCAAGCTTGTATATTTCAGAATGTGCTCTGAATTGTGGACAGATTAGAATAATCATGAATATTAAACAGATGTTGGGTAAATGTAAATGAGGCAGTCTCTTCTCAAACATTAAATGGATTAATAATACTCAGTTCAATATAAAATTAATTTTTATAATGAATAGTAATAGATCTTGTATTAAACTCATTCTAATTGACTCAGTTTGGACCCAAGTTTATAAGACATAGAAAATTTGAGAAATTGAGTTTTCTGCTGTTAAGTTGATAAAAATGTGATCTGATTAGAATTTGTGTTGACAGGATACTTTACCAGGGAGAAGTTTTACCTTCTGGGAATGGTTTTATGCTGTTATGAGATTAACTAAAGATCACCTGAAAAATCTTTGGTGTGATAAGTGAGTTCTTTTTTTTAATGCTTAATATGTTTCTTTTATGATGAATTTTGTTGGTATGTATTTTTACATTTAACCAATAATGAACCAGACGATCACATGGTTAAATGTCAACAAAAGTAGATACCTCTGTGATATATCCAATAACAATGTGTTAAAGTTTGATAACACTAAAAATTACAGATCTAAATTAGCCAAGAAAGGAAACTGTAATGTTATGTACCAATGAAACTAAATGATCACACAAATTTGTCTATTTTCATGAAATGGAATACTGTATACTGTTGTCTGTCCATCTATCCACAGGTCTGATCAAATATTTAATTGAATTTAATTGGAATATTTGAATCAATGAAAGAAATTTTTGATTTTGAAATTTCTTGGTATGTTGTTTCATAGTCGTAGGACTTCACAGATATATTTAAGGGGATTTTTTCTCATATCACATAGTAAATAAAGTATGCTTGGATTGATTTACTTGAAAATTAATGCTGTTGTTGTAATTGATAAAAGATGGCTCACTTTCCATTTTAAAATGTTCTGTTTTTTTTTAGTTACATGACGTTAACCATCAGATTTAAGTAAATTTTTTATATGTCACCCTCTAACTTGAGTATTCTTGAATCAGTTCACTTGCACAATTGTTAGGATTGGTGAAATTAAGCTACCTTTCAATTTTGAAAATTATCAAATTTGTCATTCCACAGTCATGGAACCTAAGTGTCAGCTCCCATTCCATTTAACTTACAAGGGCTGTTACAGTTATACCAAATAATTTTGATTGAGAGTTCAAACTAATGATATTATTTCACAAGTTTTTCTGAAGAACCATTTTACTGACTTCTAATTCAATGCCTTCTTTAATATTTCATTTTATTCTTGCAACAATTTCAATTGGCTGGAGTAGCTTGCATTCCTAATTTGATACTTGCACAGCTGTTTATTTAGCTTTTATAATCCTTAAAAATGAGACAACCCTGGATAGTATGTTTTACTTTTATAAAAGTTTGTCACAACCTACAAAATTGGCAGTAAATTAAAATCCTCATTCTATTCCTATACCCTATGATTATATATAAGAAAAAATGAGCTATTTACATTTTTTTATACAAACCATTGATTGTACTTAACATACATTTTAATTTTGGGTTTCTTTCTCCTTTAAACTTTATTCCAATAAAGTATATAAAATTTGTAATCTTAATTTTAGAACAATAATTGGCTTTGTCAGTAAACAACAGGCTCAAGAATGGTTACAGATGAGGCCAGTTGGAACCTTTCTCTGTCGATTTTCTGATTCAGAGTTAGGTGGTGTTACTATTGCATGGTCAGCTGAGGACCCAAAGTCACCTGGTAAGTTCCTCTACACCAATCCTGCTAGTGAGTTTGTGTTTTCATATATTAAAGGATCCCGAGTTGCCACAAAATGATATGAAAAGTTTTTGTTGAAAAACAATTTGATAGTTTTTTTTTGGTTTACCTGATCCAAAGAGTCATATCAGATCTTCAATCTTTAAATACTCTCAAAAAAACTTTAATGCTGTTTTGCACCGATCTCAACTTGAATCATCCATAGAGTTCTGCATATATATATGAATACACAATGACATGGGATATATATCAATGAGACACATTGTTGACAACCTGTGGCAATGAGAAATTATGTCATCACTTGACATTGCCTGCCAAAATGTGGGTAAAAATTTTTATATTCCATAGTTGCCTGTTTATTTACAACACCATTGCTTGATACATATTCATGACAAATACATTATTGTTCACATTTTTATGGCAGTAATTGTTAAGAATAGAATGTTTACCTCAGTACTGTTAATTGGCTTCTCACCAAGGGTATAATCTATTTGCACCTGGAAGGCTGAAATGATTTTGGCTGCTTGTAAACATTTGACAAATGAATAAAGTAAATGTAAATAAGTGTATATAAACAAGTAACAATTTGGAAAAAACTTAACAGTTTATCTGGCCCACGATCACTTTCTTTTATTCATGTTAACCTTGATCATAGGCGGATCCAGGGGGGGGTAAAAAGATGAAGCTATCGGTGCAGAAAAATATCCTCTTCCAAGACATCACAGGGTCAACATGAACTTAAACAAAAGACTAGTGTCTATACAATGTTTTAAGCTCTAAACAGTCTGTAAAAGTTGTAAAACAGAAACATTCAAAGATAAAACATCAACGATAAATTCTCAAAAAAAAAAAAAAAAAACATTTAGATATGACATAAGACAACCACTGACACGGTTTCTGACTTGTGACAAGCTCACAAATAAAACTTACTTTTGTGTTTACTGTCTTAAATGGATGTATATAGATTCTACCACTGCATCCAGTGTGATACAATATTTCTCCACTGCAATCAGTTAAATTTTCATATTTAAAATGTGAGGCTTGCTGTTCTTTTTAGATATTTAGAATTTAACTGTTTAGACTTGCAAGAGTTTGGGTGATGGAATCTTACTCTTATGATTTTTAGACTATATGCATACAAACTTTATTTAAAAGATGTGTAATTTATATGTGACGTCATCAGGCATGGTCGCTTTTTTGTGTGACATCACAATAGGAAATTCAGAGGAAAGCAAGAAATTTGATGTCATGTTTGAATTTGACCAAAGAAAAACTGAGATAAAAAAAACACAGGTTGAATATAAAAAAATAATCAACCTTCTTTTGTTTAAGGTGAAAGACAAGTGTGGAATTTGGCACCATATGGTACAAAAGAGATTAACATACGTACACTTGCTGACAGAATCAAAGATCTTCCACAGCTTACGCACTTGTTCCCAGACATACCAAAAGATCAAGCCTTCAGTAAATATTACACAACAGATACATGTAAGTAATTATTATAAGTGAATAATACTGTATAAATATAAAGATGTTATTATTACCTGTAAAAATTACAGTACAGACAAAAATACTATTCCTTCAATATTTATTTTAGTCTCACCTTTTGTACAATGTATAAAGCCACTCAATACAGAGTTGTGGTGGTTTCTTGTTTGATAACTTGCTTAATTGGAATAAAACTTATATTAAGATCAAAGAGAAAGGGAAGAGAAAGAAACTTTTGATTTTCGGGGCAAAAAGGTCTGAGTTCAAGGTTTGCTGTCATTAAACAAAACAAATTTTTTGTTGAAAAAATTGGTTCCAGAATTATAACTTAAGTTCCTTTTGTTGGTGTTTAAGGAAACTTATATAAATGAAATATACAGGAAAAAGGTAGAACCTAAAAAAAATTTAGGTCAATGTCACAGCTCATAAAACTGACTTTCATGTTTGGAATATTATTTGAGCATTTGCCTTCTCCTAAAAATAGTTTTATGCTTTTAAGAGGAGGTTCCAAAAGAGAGAACAACCTGTACAATCTAAGAAATATCTTTCAGTTTGTGCCATGTGTTTTCCTAAAAAAAATCAAAAAAAATTGGCCTTTAGAATTTTAGATACAATATGGTCATGACATATATAGTTTACATTCCTTTTCTCTTTGGTTGATAGTTGTCTCATTGGCAATCATGTCACATCTTCTTATTTTTATATAGGATGTGCAATAATGAATTCATTCCATTATTCCTAGTTATGAATATATCAAAAGGTAGAAAATTTAAAAAAAAAATCTCTTTTAAAATTTGAAAAGTTTGGTAATTCAAATACAAAACATCCTTGCCCAAATTATCCTGATTTGATGCCAAAGTAAATCGTCAGTTTTTTCCATGGAGTTTAACGCATTTGTTATTTTTCTTTTCCAGTGCCAGATATTAAAGACCCGGAGGGCTATATAAAAACCCACCTGATCAACACTCTCACTACACCGTAAGTATGATTACAGCAAGTTAAGAATGGAAAGTATGTTCCATGATCACTTCCACCATGGATTATTACTACTGTTGTAATTCTGTAAGTTTTCTGCAGGCTTTTTTTTAATTTATTTTCAGAAGCAAGTAGCAGCTTCAGCTGAGACAAAAACTTACAACTTTATTTTTTACTTTGCAATCATTATGTTGGTAAAAGGATAAGATATTGTTAATTCTTCTCTCTGCACACTTTTTATGCCAATATTAATCTTTCTGTTTCATTTGCACACAGGTCTTTGAAAATGTAATGTCATATACATATTATCATTGTAAGAGTAATCATACACCTCTCTTACAGGACAAACTTAAATGATTTTTCTTCAGTTTTCCCATTTATGACATTGAATGCTAGAGAGGATACTTTGTTTGTGACATTTAGAACTCCAGTGCTTTTCCTTTATCATTATGCAAACATTACACAGTGATTGCACATAAATTGAAAATTTGCACCTTTTATTTTTGACAGATTAGGCTTATTTTTGTCTCAGGTTTTCCATGTGTAGAACTTGGTCTGTTTTAGTCATTGAACACTATAAGAGGGCATCTAGTTTGTCTTATGTTCAACTCCAACAGTTTCCAACCAACATTCCTTAAACTTTTTACAGTGGTTGCCCCTATTCAAGATGTGCCCCTTTTATTATGGACAGATTTGAATTATTTTTTCTCACAAGAAGCAATTTTTTTCAAATTTTCAATTGAAAAGTAAGGTTGATTTGTCTTCCAATTAATTGCTAAGGCAGAGATATACATCTTTGTATTGAGATCACTTGTATTTGATTTATTTGACAAAAACACTAAGCACCAAGAATATCTTGCTATGTTTATTTATATCTGGCTTCAGTGTTAACAGGATTAAACCCTCCTAAAATATGAAGATTTTTTTAATTACCATATTCATGTATTTTGATTAGTTGATCCTGTGACATTTGACAAAAAACTTACACTTGAAAATGTTCTAATCTCTGTGGCACTGATGGCTGTTCTTCAAAACACCACAATAAGACCCACATCCAGAATTGGTATTGATCTTGATTCAGTCATTAGGAGTAATAAGATATTTGACAAACCTAATCATTACAAGGTATAACATGAGGGTACCCACATTGCACCTGTTTTGGCAGTTTATTTAAGAAACAAACAAAAGTTTCCAATCTGTGTTTATTTTGCGGATGTACCCTTATTTACTATATAGGTCAGCAAATTTAATTATGAATCCCACTGAATTAAAGAAAATGGGTTTGAACTGACTCTTAAACGATCCAAGATTTTGTAATGAGGAGTACCTAAATTGCACCCATGCTTAACAACACATCCTTAAAAATCAAATCACTGATGTTTGTTTTATTTCTTCACATTTTTTTTAAACAATTTAACAATAGTCCATGCTTATTATGCATTTGTATGAAATGAATGTCTGTTACATATTTTAATTTCTCACTTTTAAAAGTAGACTTTTTGTAAACATCTCATCCAACGTGTCCCTAAATTTAATTTTTTTCACTGGAGACTTTATCTGTTGATATATGATGTGACTGTTTTGTGTTTATTTAAGTACATTTAGCTATGTTGAAAGACGTGCAGAATGGCAAATCATAAAATTAGTAATTGTTTAGTCTCTAAGAAAAACTGTAAGATTTTCTCTGCTTTTTTACAAAATGGATGTAGTTTGGGTACTCGGTGCGATTTGGGTACTGTGATGTTACATGTTCTTCAGATAGAATTCACCATACCTAACACTGATTTTATGGTTCAGTAATAAACATGCAGTTTTTCCTGATTAGGTCAGTTTTCTGAAACTGTAAGTCATAAATGATTTCTACATCTGAACCTGACCTTATTTTAATGATTCATTGACTAATGTTAAGTAATTGTGATATTAAATCAACTATATATTTGATTGTAAGGATTTATGTCTGTCTGCCAGGGTTCACTGTGTCCACTGTTGTTAATCAAATTGATTTTTGTTTGTTTTTGTCAAACAGATAGCAAACCATTTCAGTAAATGTCAGTTTGATAAACCTTAAAAGTAGGAACAATCCCTTTGGAGAAATTTTTTATAGTTAAATTTGTTATAGAACCTATTTACATTATTTTTGACAATATTTTATATTATTTTTTTATCTTGAATTATTAATGTTCTGTAACGGTTTACAATCAAGATGCAATTAAATCTGATCATTAATGAATTTATTCTAAATTGTTATGTCTGGTACCTTTGACATTTGGCCACACACTGGCAAGTATTGAAATGACTCGAGAAGTCCTCTGTTATACAAACTGAATATTTCATAACAGGTGAATAAGTGAAAGGTGATTAGGTTGATATTTATTAATATGTTACATAAAAAAAAACGGCAGCTAATGATTTTTGGTAGAGTTTTTTTCATATTTGTTTGTCTCCTTTACAACTTAAGATATTTGCTATCGTTATTTTACACTTTTCCTTAAGGTTTATTAAACTGACATTTACTGAAATATCAAGGTTCCATGTTTTGCTTTATGTCTGACAAAAACAAACAAAAATAAAATCAATCTGATTAACAACAGTTGACACAGTGAACCCTGGCAGACAGACATAAATCAAAGAAGATAAAAACATCTTGTAAAGTTAATTTTGAAAATCTTAATTTTGTTCTACGCTTTCCATGTAAGCTGCAGCTTGATAATGTTGAGTTGTAGTGAGCAAGTGTGAAGAACATAAAATTTTCATAATTATCAGATAATTTACAAAATAATCGTTAATACCATATTGACCAAAGTCAAGAGTGATAATTTTTATAATGGTTTGTTATGTAAATAATATTGTCATAATCATTAGGTAATTTCCACAATAAAATTATGATATCACATAGACCAAAGTCACATTTTTATATGACCGCAAAAAATTTTGTGGCCGTATATTGGTATCACGTCGTCGTCAGCGTCATCTGAAGACATTTGGTTTCCGGACAATTACTTTAGTAAATGTAAATAGAAATCTATGAAATTTAAACACAAGGTTTATAACCACAAAAGGAAGGTTGGGATTGATTTTGGGGGTTATAGTCCAATTAGTTTAGGAATTAGGGGCCAAAAAGGGGCCCAAATAAGCATTTTTCTAGTTTCATGACAATAACTTGTGGAACGGTGTATGGATCTCTCTGAAATTATACCACAAGTTTACATACCACAAAGGGATGGTTAGGATTTGCTTTTGGGGGTTATGGCTCAAACTGTTTAGGAATTAGGGGCAAAAAAGGGGGAAAAACAAGGGTTTCCTGGTTAATGGACAATTAAAAAAAAGTACAATGTTATGTTTGAATTACCTCCCTTACACTGTTTTTAAATTATGTATAAAGAAATGTATTGTCTTGAGGTGATTAGCTGTCAATTTATTTTTAGAAGTTACTCTTTAAAAATGCTGATTAAGGAATATTAATTTTAGGCATGATTATGTATGTCATTTTCTATTTTAAGACTTTTATGATGTATTTAAATTTTGTAACTTCCAGACAATAACTTGTGTTTAAGTGTATGGATCTCTCTGAAATTATACCACAAGTTTCCATACCACAAAGGGATGGTTAGGATTGGCTTTGGGGGGATATGGCTCAAACCGTTTAGGAATTAGGGGCAAAAAAGGGGGAAAAACAAGGGTTTCCTGGTTAATGGACAATTTAAAAGCAGTGTAAGGGAGGTAATAAAAAAAAACAAAATTGTACAATGTTGTACTATGTTGGATTACCTCCCTTACACTGCTTTTAAATTATCTATTTAAGACTTAGATGATGTATTTAAATGGGAAGTTATGGTTGCAAACTCCATTGGAAATTTGAATTGAGATTATGACCATATCTTGAGGGAAAGAATTTTTTTTTTTGGAAAAGGGGGGGAGGAGTAGAAAAAAATGGGGGGGGGGAGAAATTGTGAGGGGGGGACAATTTTTTCTCATTTCAGATTTCAGTAATTGAAAAGAAAATTTCTTCAAATATTTTTTTTTTTTCCAAAAAAAAAGGGGGGGGGGGGTAAAAAAATTTGTTTGGGGGTGGGGATCAATTTGCAATAGCATAGTGTATTTCACAAAAGCAAAAAATTGAATATAAATTCAAATCATATAACCAATTCTAAGTTCTTTGACTACAGTTATTCTGTGTCAGAAACCTATTATGTGTCAAATATTTAATTACAATCCAATTCCAGACCTGTATCAAGCGTGAATATTGTGTCCATTTTTGCCCCAACTGTTCAGGGTTGGACCTCTGCGGTCGTATCCAGCTGCACTCGGCGAAGCAATTTATTGAGACTACAGTCATTGTCAAATAGACTAACCAGATACATGTCAAGTAAGTGAGTAGCATTTGGCAATTTTATGAAAATAATTGGACTAGAACAGCTTCTATTGACATGAATGCAATTATAGTTTGATACGCACATGTTAATAAATGTGGAAGAATGACATAATTGGAATCTTTTGGTGCTGTAGTACCAATTATTGTAGTGAAATGAAATGATTAACAATAAAACCTAAAATACTTATTTCTTTAGCTTTTAAGGTAACCTTTTTCAGTCTCATCCTGTAGTTAAAAAGCTTATAATCATAGTTAATTTTGCCTATAGCAAAACTACGGTAAAAGATGAGTTTTCTCTTCCGTGGAAAGGTTTGACCATTCCAGAGTACCTAATTACACTCCAGTTTTTCTAGGAATGGGTTGCTCGATCTTTGGTCACCTGTGAAGTGATTTGAATTTAAAATTGTATAATACATGTATTAAGTTTTATAATCAGAGAAGTTTTAGAAATACTTAGCAAGTAATGTTTAATATACAAGTATACATTATATAGAACTGCATCTTTGCTGCAATTTCTGGCAACAGTTATTTGATTATAAGTTCATTATGTGTTATATGTACATGTATGCTCTGTTCTGTAAATTAAAGTCTTTAAGTATCTGGTTCAGCCACTTTATTGTTCTAAACATTATAAGTATTTTCATAAAACCTATTTTGCTTGATGTGACCAGTGGTCAGGTGTAATTTCAGACTACCAGTAATTTACAAATCCTAGAACACAGTTATGTGACCTATCAGCTTCTAGTTTTATTTGATTGACAGATGAAAATCACACATCCTTGGACACATTCCTTTCTTTTCAAGATGATATTATAATTTTTCCAACAACTGGCCAGTTATTGGATTTTGAATATTTGTTATAAGGATAACGTCATAAATTGTGCCTCAGACAAGATTATAATTTGAAAATTTTATCTGGGAACAGACTCTATTGATTGGACTTCATTAATGTTTACATTGACAACAAATCATTGCATGCAATGGTATACAAAACATTGTCGAAAGCATTTGTCGTAACTTGAACAAATCTTTTTAAGATATAGCTGAAAGTGTTCATAAATTTCTTTATTGATAATTATTCACAATTATTGTCACAAGGCAGCTGTTAGGATTTCAGTCAATATTATCTTGATAAAAAATGATGTTCAGACAATGTTTGACTACAGATTTGTAAGGAATGATTTTCCTGAGATTTCTTATTATGGAACTGACTTCAGTAGTGAATTTTAAATGGTGAAAGTGTTAGACTGGATATGATGTGAAGGACAAGTCAAAACAAATAGGAGTAAGATCTTATGTGTGAACTACTTGTATATGTTTTTTTAAACTCTGCAGATTCATCAGACAAAAGGACATACATTAATATATTGTGATACAGAGTCTTGATTGGAGATGCAGCTCTAATGCCACAATCATTTGACATCATAACAGCTTATCTATTACTTTTGCTTGTTTTAGATGATTTTCTATGAATTGGAGTCATCTTTCTAAAGGAATATGATACTATCTATATTATAGTGAATATTAATAGCAGTATAAGGTGACAGTTAATGAATGGAAATGTAAAGAGCAAAGGTGTGAGTTGTGATATTTTAACTTCTCTGACTTAAATGTCTCAGACATGTACTTTTGTTTTGTGGCAGAATATTATATAGGAAGTTAATTATTACTCTTTGACAGTTTACAATAGACAATACTTGCATTTAAGATGGATAAAACTATAGTTATACCAATGAACATTTCACACACCCAGAATGATGGATTTGACTTCAAAGATACAAATTATCACTTTCCAGATTATTTTAATGTATTAGCCACTGCGTATTTGGCTATCATTGACATTTTTATCATAGTGGGGAACTTGTGGGTTATTTTTATAATTCTATCCAAAGTTCGTAAGAGTATGTATTTGTTGTCATCTTTGGTTGTTTCTGATCTTCTGACTGGTATTACCTCTATTCCTTTGTATCTTTTGTGGCTTCATCGTATTGATCTATTTGTATCACATCCTATGTGCTTCGGTTCTTTAATGACTTCATTGTTTCTATGTGCAGCCTCAATTTTGAATATTGTTGCCATGACAATTGAGCGTTACATTGCTATTTGCCACCCAATGTTTCACAAGTCTTTTGTAAAGGTCAATTTCAGAGTTATACTTTCAGTGACAATTTGTGGAATTTGGCTGACAAGTTTTCTTATAAGTCTCTTTTCTTTCATTTTCATGAAAACTGATTTCTTGATTTGCTCCTATTACAATGTTTATGATGGTCAGTTTCTGTTTTGGGCAATAATATTAGGAGTATTCAGCCCTTTCTGCCTTTTGTCATTTATGTATGTAAAAATGTTTCTTTCAGTAAAAAATTGCTTTAAAAGAGAAATTGTACAAAGAATCAGGTTAACAAGCTCTAGCTCTCAAACTCGTCAGAAAAACATTTACAAGGCCCTTAGGAAAATGGTGTCAACTCTATGTTTGGTTTTGATGTGCTTTGTGTTTTGTTGGTTTCCATTTTTTATTACAATATTTTTACGAGTGGTATGTAAAGAGTGTATACTGCCAATACTGGCTTATGAAATCATACTGTTACTTGGTATGACAAATTCTTTCACAAATCCTATCATTTATTGTCTAAGACACAGGTCATTCAGATTGTCATGGAGACGAGGAACATATGCTGAACAGGAAAGAAGTAACAGTCACAATTTTTCAGATTGATAAGTACTTAACTTCAGTTGGAAAACTAGTTTTCCATTAAAATACTTTATTGATTATTTCTGCTGGGTTCATTGTGTTAGTATGTTCTTGCACCTCTTCATTCATCTTTCTTGCAACAGCAACTCTGCATAAACCGATGACTAGATTTCAGTTAAATCTTCCCATTCCTAATGACATTCAAAAACTTATTAATAGGTTTAAAGAGAAGTTCATATTTAGGAGCTGTGGTTGCAGTTTATATTGTCAATATTTGTCTCAATGCTCCTGTTTACCTTACAAACCAGGTAAATATAAACAGGTGTCTTTCTAATGTGTTATGTGTAATTGACTATAATACTGTACCATCTTTATACACAGTAGGTCTTGCAAATTTGTTTGTTCCTATCTCATAAATATGTGCCCTTCACCCACTTTTATTCATCAAATCTGTCTTTAGTGTTCCCAAGCACAAAACAGAGCAGGGGACATTATCAGCATTGTTCTGGACCAGTTTAATCAACAATTTTTCAGGAGTTATTTTTGACTTTCACATTTTGTTATGCTGGACCTATAAAGCTACTATACAGTATGGGTTTTGTTCATTGTTGAAGGCCATTCTAATTGATTACAATGGATAGTTTTTTGTTGGCTATCAAACTACACTACCTTATTTTTATAGTGATCATCAGTGTTTGTTCTTGCTAAAAGTGATACATTTGCAACAAATTTCAGTTCTTGCTCAAGGCGATATGCTTGCATCAAATTTCCAAGTAGATTAGTTGCTTCAACAGTAATAGATAGTGATGCTATATTAAAGAGACAGTTAATTTCCTTATAAAAGATTTTCTAACAATGGAGGGTTCATAGTAGAAGTCAGCTAAAAAGACATGTGTTTTGATATGGGTTCAATCTTTCTCACAACCTTTTTGAGAGAATACAACTTATTTTCAAGTTTCTAGCTTATGTTGTATTGTGCTGATTTACTCTTCTTTGCAGTGGTTTAAATAGGTAATTCTCTAGGTTTATCAATTTATTTCAGTTTATCATTCAAAAATTTCATTTTATGCAACACAACCCTCTTTACAATCATTTTATTTTGGTACTATACTTAACTATCATATACTAACTTTTGACCCTTTAATAGATCATAATTATGAGAATGTGTATACTATATTGTGATGGTTTATAATCAATATGTCTCCTATCCTAAATCATTTGTCAACTTATGTCTGAAGTGTATGAAGATTTATTAGTTATTAACTGATGTAGAATATTAAACTGAATCCCTTAAATAATGCCTAATAGAATTGCCATTACTATGCTGTTTTGTTTGATATAATTATTTGATTGCACCTTTGAAAGACAATTGTCATTAGAAGGAAATAAAACATATGAAACAGCATTAGTAAATTGGTTTTGGTAGGATTAGTTTATTGGAGTTCTGGGATAGAGGATATTTCAATGTTAAAAGGGTCGTAGTAAGTGGCATTTTTCTGTGCATCAACCTAGTCTTTTGCAAAGATGATTTAAAGCAAATGAAATATCATTTAAACAGATTGCCAATTAAAATATTGGACCACACTTTTCTACTTTGACACCCTCAACCCTTGAAAAGCTAAGATCAAGTGACATTATTTAAAAGTTGTTATTGCATGCAGATGATGTGCTGTTTATCCCAACAATGTATAGCTTTCTGACAATATAGTGTGGAACTCAGAAATAAAAAGTAATCAGGGACTTCTGTATAATGGGCAGTTAAATCTTACTATGTTGTGTAGATATTGGATGTAGGTTTATGAGATGACTACCTTTGTAGATAAGTAATACATGTAAGCTTCCATTCTTAACATATAATTTAACAGGAACTTGTGCTAAAAATAACTAGTTAAGCTGAAACTGCTTCATTGAAAATTTTCCATTTCTTGTTATCATTGTAAGATAGTGTCCCATGGTTGGTGATAGTCAAATTTCTTTAAAAAAAGAAGATTATGTAATGTAAATCATATGCATTAGATTACGGTATTAACTTATACAACAAGCTTTCAATCCTTGTGTTTTATATAAACTCCATTTCAACACAACACATCAAATGTATATAGGCTACTAAAGAAAAATAGAATTGCTGTTTTTTAGAAATCTTTATACTGAAGATTTACAATGGAGTTAAATAATATGCTACACAATTATAGCTTGTATTATAGATTTTGTAACTACTTGTATATGTAGAAGTGGAAAATTGAACTGTAATTGGTCATTTAAAGGGAAAACTTTGTAGCAGCAAAAGAGATCATCTACATGTATTCACTTTGCTTTTGTAAAATTTATTTCTGTAAAAAAATATGTATTGCAAAATGTTTGTATTAAATATTTTTTAATGTCCTTAATGGTTTTAAGGTAGTTATTTTCTTAATTATCTGTTAATTGTTAATATATCATACGTTATTGTACTCTTTTATTATTGTTGATGTGAAATAAATATGTTATGTTCTGAGCTTTTGGGTTTAGTGAAATTAACAATGAAATATTTTTATTTACCTACATAAATTCACCATTTTACTAATATTTGATACTTTTCAATGATTTTCTTCTCAAAAGTTCGAACCAGACTCAATAGTGACAGTTCAAGACAGTTCAAACAATTCCAATTCCAATGGACATTTATTTGTCTTTCTTTGGCAGATGAATTAATAGTCAATACTTGTTATACCCTTGGAGGGGTAAACTGGTTTAGCTCTGTGTGTCTGTCTGTCTGTCTGTCTTTGTGGAAATCTTTATACATTATCACAAATAACCTATAATTTGAATATTTAGTTTATTATTTTTGGCTAATTCAGTGTAAATGTCAACCCTTAAAAGAAAATGTTTTCATAACTATACCCCTGCTTTGAAGAAGGGGGTTTACAGTATACCAGTGATGGACAGTGAAACTCAGATCAGGATATTGGGAAATTTCGGTTTTGAGTTTAAACCTCAGATCAGGAGGTTTTTTTATGGCCCTGCAACAAAGTTGCCAAAAGGGCCATATAGTTTTACCCTTTCCGTCATTCCACAACAAACAGTTATACAGACTTTTTTCTAAACCCCTACACATATTGAGCTGATTTTTAGTATGTGAGTCTACTATGGTGAGTTACAGATTGAATTTAGGTCTGGTTCCGCTCCACTGATTTGTGGCGAAATTACTGGGTTTGGACTTTGAAAATTTCTTGAAAATAACAGCTATTTGTATTTTCATTCTAAAAATGGCTTCAAGCTTTTTTTTTTGCAAGCAGGGCCATTTGTGTTGTTCCAAAACATCTGATGTCAAAATTGTCTTTTTTGTGTGTTTTTTCTTCAATCTTCCATCTGAATGTAATAATATCACTGTGTTTACAGTACCCTTGTAGTCTGTCTATTTGAATGATATTAGTTGAAAGAATTATTGAGAAGATTCTATTTCTGGCTTGGATTTTGATAATACTGGTTTACCTCTGTCTATCTGCCTGTCCCATAATATGTTTGTCCCAATTTTCTCAGGAACTACAAATCAGAGATTCCTGAAATTTGGTATAAACATGTCTCCTGTGAGTTACATTTTCAAAGTCATCACTCATCAACTTCCTGTTTACTGCACCTACACATTTCACTTTGATAAATATAAGTATATGTCATTGAGACAGCAACCAAACAACTAAAAAAAACCAAAGACATCTTGAGGGCAATGTACAGTCTTCAACTTAACACAACCAAATCGTTTCTAACTTCTTAGGAATGAAGATTTCAGTGCCATCTATTTTGTGCTGATTAGGAGTAATACATGGTGGCAATGATGGCACATAATCTCAATTGAATCATATTTTCTTTGTTGTTATACGACCGCAAAAAATTTTTGCAGTCGTATATTGGTATGACGTTGGCGTCGTCGTCGTCCGAAGACACATTGGTTTTCGCACAATAACTTTAGTTAAAGTGAATGGATCTCTATGAAATTTTACCATAAGGTTCAATACCACAAAAGGAAGGTTGGGATTGATTTTAGGGGTTATGGTACCAACAGTTAAGGAATTAGGGGCCAAAAAGGGGCCAAAAATAAGCATTTTTCTAGTTTCCAGACAATAACTTGTGGAACGGTGTATGGATCTCTCTGAAATTATACCACACGTTTCCATACCACAAAGGGATGGTTAGGATTTGCTTTGGGGGGTTATGGCTCAAACCGTTTAGGAATTAGGGGCAAAAAAAGGGGGAAAACAAAGGTGTCCTGGTAAATGGACAAATACTTTAGTACAAAACATAATTTAAAGCAGTGTAAGGGAGGTAATTCAAATACATCATTTGAATTACCTCCCTTACACTGCTTTTAAATTATGTATACAGTAATGGTTAATGAACAATTAAGACAATTTAAAAGCAGTGTAAGGGAGATAATCCAAATACGTTTTGATTACCTCCCTTACACTGCTTTTAAATTATGGTTAAAGAAATGCATATTTATAAAGGAAGACCAGTAAAAATATCTGCAAATGTTGCATGTTTTTTTTTTTTACAAAAAAATCCATATGACAGATTTGACACCATATTTTAAATTCTATTATAAAATAGATTAAGTTAGCACTATGGTAAATTTAAATGGGTAATTATGGTTGCAAACTCCATTGGAAATTTGAATTGAGATTATGACCATATCTTGAGGGAAAGAATTTTATGGGGGAAAAAGGGGGGGGGGGGGGGTCAATTTTTTCTCATTTCAGATTTCAGAAATTAAAAAGAAAATTTCTTCAAATAATATTATTTTTGCAAAAATAAAGTGTGTGAGGGGGGGAGGGGGGTCAATTCGCAACAGCAAAGTGTATTGCACAAAAAATTGAATATAAATTCAAATCATATAACCAATTCTAAGTTCTTTGACTGCAGTTATTTTGTGTCAGAAACCTTTTATGTGTCAAATATTTAATTACAATCCAAATTCAGACCTGTATCAAGCGCGAATATTGCGTCCATTTTTGCGCCAACTGTTCAGGGTTGGACCTCTGCGATCGTATCCAGCTGCGCTCGGCGAAGCAATTTATTTTTTCAGTGAAACAACATTGCCAATCTAAAACAGAGAAATATGGAAGGACATTCATACAAATATTTCATATTGCGTATTATTCCTCAAAAACATTGCTGTCCATCTCAATTAATGATTCTGATCTTTGAATATTCAATAAATTATCTGCAACTGCTGTGCCAAATCATATGAAACTTTATATTGATTGTTTGCTGACCCTTTACAAATATTCTTAATTCCTTGCTCATTGATTATTATTTGGCTTATGAAGGATGAGGGGCATGTTTGTTTGTAATTGTTTGATTCGTAATATCTTTGAATTTGTTTCAAAAGGGAAAGTGACAAAAAAATGGTTTTTATTATTAAAAATTAGTAAATAAGATATTAACATTATTTTTTGAACTTTTTTGAGAACTCACATTTAAAGGAGTAGGTTCGGTAAGGACCATATTTGGCCCCGATTATTAAGTTCAATTTTTCAAGATAAGGAATGTTTTAAGTTGATGAATGACATGTAAGAAAGTTAAACAGAACTGTTTTTGTCGAAGTTTTATTTTAAATCCCAAATAGGCCAAAAATAGAGATTTTTTTTTGCAAAATTGTCTGGATTTAAACCATATTTAGGACTAGGAAACAAATATTACAAACATTATTTTAAAAGATCTTTTTATGTCGATGCATACACTCTATGGTTCCTGTCTAAAAAATCAATGGTAAATTAGCCTAATGCTATTTGTGACCTAGTGACTAGCATGTCTAAGGAAATGCCTGTACCTATTTAGAATATGACAGTTGTTTTCCATTCGTTTGATGTGTTTGAGCTTTTGATTTTGCCATTTTATATAGGACTTTCCATTTTGAATTTTTGAATTTTTGTTATTTTATCCTTTATACAAGTATGTAAATTTTCAACAAAAAGACATATTTTCTATCTAGTCATTGTATAAGCTATGATTCATTGTGATATTGGTCAATAAATCCTAGTATGTAATTGTGCTAGAAATAGGGGCTATTTTAGGGCCTTATTGAATTTTTTCCTTTTCTCTTGCAGTTTATGATTAATCAAAAATCAACTTGCCTAACATAATGTTTGGAAAGCCTATAGTGAAAATATTTCATATTGTTCTAATCAGATGTAAGATATGGCAGGCAGAAGCTATTTTTGTTTCTTTCACATTTCCTTTTTGAAGAAATTCTAAGACTTAATCCCATCAGACTTCATAAGTATGATGATGGAGAAAATTAAAGAATCCTTGTAGTGATCAGATGGCATACATGGTATTAATTAACTTACACTTACCCAACCTTGAAGAAAACCTTCATAATTGATCAAGTGTTAATTTGATTTCCTGAATCAGATGAACTTCAAAGAATTCAATATACGGAATTGTACAAACAATTTATATAACTGGCTAAGTTTATGTAATTTGTAAGCCCAGAACATGGCAACAGAATAAGTATTTTTTAGCTCATCTGGCTGAAAGGCCAATGAGCTTTTTTCACGACTCTGCGTCCGTCATCCGTTGTCTGTTAACTTTTACAAAAATCTTCTCCTGTGAAACTACTAGGCCACATTTATCCATTATTAGGCTATGTAGTTTAATAAATGTGTCCGATGACCATGCTTGCTTATCAAGATGGCTGACAGACCTAAAAATAGAACTTTGGGGAAAAATGCAAGTTTTGCCTATTATTTTGAAAACCTCTTTAAATAGAGAAATTCTTACAGGAGCAAAAATGTTCAGAATGTTGAGCTCTACCAATTGTCTATTACGTCAAAACTGTCAGACGACTTCTTATAGGAGTTATTGCCCTTAAATGATGAATTTTACCATGTTTTAAAATGTTTTCCTATTATCTATAAATTATTAAAGTTAGACAGAAACTTAAATAGCAAAAAATGATCAGCAAGATAAGATCTACAAATAATTCAACACGACAAAAACCGTCAGACAACTCCTCATTAGAGTTGTTACCCTTGAATGATGATTTTTGATTCAGCCATGCTTGATCTATGCGATCACCCTGTTTTTGGAGATGGTGCAGAATACTAAGTTGAAGACATGTCATGAAACTAATTATGTGTTTTTATGACTTGCAGAAACTTTCTACATCATTTTAATCATCAACTGCCAACTTTTGACATGTTATTTGCCCTTAAATTAAGAAAAGATTGGTCAAACAACCCTTTTATTTTAGATATACACTTGCATATAGTTCCTTTGTAAATCAAAATTTATAATGATTTACTATTTATGAATTTATATGAAAAAGTATTTTTACATCAATTGAATCAGTTGATAACAATTTTGAAAGTATTATAGAATCATGTGCATAACAGCGTAGATGAGACCATTGATTGGCGCGCTAAAATATCCCATTGACTGGGTCAGATTAGGTGAACGTTCGTCTGTAACGCCCACTATTCACGACATATTTGTTATAGACATTTAAACTATGGGGTCACCAAAGGGTCTCAACGCCTAAATAAAATGATTCGAAAACAAAACTAATCAGGAATAACCTTTGTGTTTTGATTTATATTGAATACTTAAATGTTCTTTACTTGTGTTTTTGTTATGTTTTGATAATCAATTTTTATGATATCGCACGTTCTTTCAGCAAAAAAAGGATTTTACTGGCTTTAAAAGTTACAATGCATGTGTTGATTATTATCTTTTTTCGGACGTCAAAGCGATTTAACAATTGCGGTTGTCCAATTATGTCATCTTTTAACTTTTATCTGGTCAAAATTTTATTTTAAAACGAATGCATGATCAACTTTTTAAAAGTGTGCAAACACAAAACATATAGACAAAATATACTTCTGTCCTGTCTTTTTCGTACTTGCAAGTTTTTGGACAGTAAAAAGGCTATTTGGATCAAGCCTTGTGAAATTTGCATTTTCGTTTTTGAATGGGTAAAATGTATAGTTTGGTGAACTTTTCTTCTAACTACTATACTTGTGAAAAACCCTTGGCAACATAAACATATTCAGCTTTTTTTTTTAATCGACCCAATTTACATAGTAATGGACGACATCGTACATTTTATGATCGCAAATAAAATACGTATATAGTATACTGTGCACTGTAGTTCGTATATTGATTTTTTCTTTTGTTAATGGATTTTCCCGTCTTTCTGGGAGCGATTATTTGTTATTGACTCCTTAAGCTTACTCGCATATTTAAAACCAAGACTTGCAAAAAAAAATGTCCAAACAAACCTTGATTTTCCTTTTTTTTAAACATACATCTCAGCCATAGATAAGGACTTAAATTCGCCAGGTCTTTAATTTTAAGTTAGTGAGTTGACCAAAGTAACATTGCGGACCATTTGCCAGTTTCCATGCGGTATCCGTGTTTTTTCACTCGCTCCGTTCTGCATCCACTCATCTTTCGAGTTTGTCATGACAAGGCAATTTGAAGCTTTCATGCTATACAGTGTGTGTTTTGCTTATTGTTGAAGGTCGTACGGTGACCTATATTGCTAACGTCTGTTGACCGCTGGAAGGGATTTGTCTGATTGTCTATCACACCACATATTCTTATTTTTATAATGCAGTTATATCTATAATAAAATTGAGAATTGAAACGGGGAATGTATCAAAGAGACAACAACCCGACCAAAGAGCAGAAAATTTGTTTTTCGTTAATTGTTTTGTTGTAGATTAGGCCGTTGGTTTTCTCAATTGAATTGTTTCATATTTTTCATGTCGGGGACTGTTGTAGCCGACTATACGGTATGGGTTTTTCTCATTGTTGAAGGCCGTACGGTTGCCTATAATTGCTTACATCCACTTCATATGAACTTTGGTGGATAGTTGTCTTATTAGCAATCATACCACATCTCCTTATTTTTATATAAAGTTGTATCAATTGTGACTTTAGATACATTGGTGTATTGATTTTTGTTTGCGTACAACGTCTAGTGTCAAATTTGTCATGCATGTTTAGGACTATTAAATATATTGCAGATAGTTTCGTAATTAAACAGCTTTAGATCTGTTATCTGACAATAATACATAAAAAGATAAAAGGTAGGAAAATTAAGAGACCACAACAACAAAGACCATCGAGTCCTGTCCATAAATAGTAAAATAGACGTTTAATCAACAATGAACAACACAAAACCCGGATAGCCGGACGTTTGGCTCAAATTTAGTGGGGCTAATCCAGTTTAACATGCAATCCC